CCCGGCTAAAACGTATGTTCTCCTGAACCAAGTCAGGAAACCCTGGGTCCTACTTTCTCTAATGTGTTCAAAATGGCCTCCAAGCTGGAGGCGGAAGTCAAGATGAAAACCACTTGGTATCCATCTTGCAAGAAACCTGACTGAGGATTGAGAGGCTGAGATCTGCCAGAGATACATCAATATCATATTCCCCAACAGCATCAATGAATGGGCAGAGATGTCACAGATGAGTTGTGCTAGCTGGCCTCAAGACCAGGCTGCACCAAGAATGCAATGCAAAGTGATTATTCAACAGCTAAGTTTCAAATGAAGAATGGCAAACTATCTACCAATATGTGAAAGAGCTCTACAAATAACTAATAATAACGAGAAATGCAAATAAAATCAATTCTAAGGTTTCATCTCATATCTATCAGATTGGCAAATATTGAAGGAGCTGTGGGAAAATGGGCAGAGACTATGCTTCTGCCCTTCTCCATATCCCCAGATATTAGCATGGTGCATGGCATGTAGAAAGCACTTTATAAATGCCTGTTGACTAGCTAGTTGACTTGTATGAACTGATACAGAATAAAATACACAGAACCCCAAAATTAATTTACATAATGATCATGATAACGGAAAAGAAAACCAGAGTGAAAGACTTCAGAATTCTGGTCAGTGAAGTGACCAGCTGTGAATTCTGAAGAGGAGCAGAAGTAGATCTAAGGAATTATTTATTATTATTCCTATGCCCTGAATTCTCTTCCTTAACTGAAGATGACTTTCAAATTACCATTTAGAGAATAGTCAGACATCCAGGGGTTCTATAATAAGCTCCCAACCTTCCTAGGCCTAGAGAAAAGAAATGCTGTTCCTTTCCCACCCCCGACTCCACAACAGTTCCAGAGTTGGAGTCCTCTTACCTCCAGGGGTTCCTCCCGATCCACCTGTTCATTCAGTTTCTTGGTATAGGCATCACTGATATTGGTCGCTTGCACGTATCCCCAGAGGCCATTAGGCAGACTGACCACAAGCTCCAGATTATTTACCTCTTTCACACAGCCCAAGAGCCGCATCCCTTCACTTAGAGTCTGGAAAAAGAGAAAATGAATCATCTTCTTGGAGGTGGGGGGTGAGGGGGATACAACACTGGGTCTATATTTAGTCCCAGTTTTGTCACTAACTAGTTGTGACCTTGGGTAAGGGACTCTCCCTCTCTGGACCTCAGATTCTCCATTGGTAAAACAAGGTAATTGGATCAGATGACCTCTAAAGTCCTTTCCTTCTCTGACATGCTATGACTCCACCACCACCAACAAAAACCCTGGCATTTTAGTGCATCAGACAGGTCAAGGATTTCTCCATTTGCTTCATAAATCTTACTTGGTAATGCTATTGAATTCTGGGCACGTTTGCTGCAGATTAACTGGGACCACTGGCAGGGAACAGGGACCTAACAAAGAAGTCGGAAGAAGCCAGCCTGCTGGTCACTGACAAACAAACCTCAACACTGAGTATCCCATGCTGCTCAGCTTCAGGTTTGCTGGGCTCTTTCTTTTCTGCTTTTGGCCTTTTATTTTTAGCAGCTTGTTCTTGGCTCCTTTTTCTTTTTCGGGATCCTTCCTCAGTAGGAACCTAGAGAAATCCCCACAAAGACCCAGAGAAGTCAGGGAAAGAGAACATAATGCAATCCCCAACTTTTCCCTCTTGATGGCAGCTCATTTTGCCACCCCAATTCTTGAATCATAAGCCCAGGTTCTTCATATTTCAATCTGACCAAGTGCTTCATTCTCCTTGACCAAGACAGAGACCTACATATCCTTTCCTCTTCCACTCATCAAGTCATCTTTCCTAATGTCTTTGAAGCCTGGCCCTCATCACATTCTTACCCTGTTCAAAGACCTTCAGGGGTTCTCCATTCCCTCCAAAATTAAGTTAAAACTCCTCAGCCCTCCTCTGTAATCCGGTTCCAACCTATCTTCCTTCCTATTATCTCCCAGCCCTTTTATGTACTCTAAGCTACAGGTCCAAGCACCTCTGTCTTTAACAATGCTGTTATGCTCTTTTTTCCATCTCTGCCTGAAGACCCACCTCAAATGCCACCTCTTCCAAGAAGCTTCCCTGGCCCTTCTGTGAGAAGGGCTCCCCTCTCTTCTGAACTTTAAAGCACTGCCTCCTCTGTACCATTCTTATGGCACTTTGATATTCTGCCTCATATCACAGTTAATTTGTGTATGTGTTTTATTTCCTATTGGACTCTGGTACTTGATGGCAGGACCATCTTTAATTTGTCTTCCCAGCTCTTATCAAGCACAAGGCCTTGATGCAATAGGCATTCAATGAAAGTTTGTGGAATGAAAGACTGGAGTCTAAGAGTTATGCTATCAATCAATCAAAAACATTTATTAAGTTCCTACTCTTACGTATCAGGTACTTGGCTAGGCATGGAGATATGAAGTTTATGTGCACAAATAAATATATACGAAACAGATACAAAAAAAAGAATATTGGGGGGGTGGGAGGGATCAAAAAGATCTTCATGTAAATGGTGACACTTGGGCAGAATTTTAAAGGAAAGAAAGGATTCTACGAGTTGGAGGTTAGGCGAGTGTGGAGCAAATGTAAAGGTAAGGAGACAGGAGATAGACTGCCCTGTGTGAAGAATAACAAGATGGCCTGTTTAGCTGGATGGTTGATTAAGAGAAAGACAGCAATGTATCATAACAGTGAAAGGTAGTTTAGGGTCAGGTTGTGAAGGGCTTTAAAAGTCAGAGAGTATCTCTATCTCCTATTTCATTCTACAGTTAACAGGAAGGGGAATGACACGATCAGTAGGTAGAAAACTACCTACTCTGCGTGTATGAGATAATTTTAGGCAAGGATGCAGAGCAGACACAGGTTGCGCTATTTAACACCAGCTTTACATCTATGTTTTTATGTTCCTAAGACCTTCTTCTAGTTTTTCCCCAACCCATCTCAAAAACAGCTGGAAGTCTTACTTCACTTTATCTCTTCACCAAAAGAACACCAGATTGTCTTACAACTAGAATCACAAATATCTGAAAACTAAGGTATGAGATAACTTGTGAGTCAGAAGTCTGAGTAACATGGTACTAGGTGCTCTTTTTAGAGGAATCTGGCATATACACATACATACACAAACACACACACTACACACACACATTTTAGAAAGTGAACAATTCTAAAGTTCAGTCTTCTTAAGAGCTCTAGAGTCAAACTGCCATTGCCTGTTTCTGGCACACATGCATCCAACTTACATCAAATAAGTTATCATGTTCAACTGGCTGCTGGGGAGCCTTTTCTGGATGCACCTTCTTTTTTGAACCCCCTCGAGGGAAGCTGTCCTCCTGGGATGCCATGTCAATCTCCTAAAGAAAAAACTGTGGTAAATGATAGTGAAATGTAATGAGCCTCCTAAGCACCACTGGACCGAGGAAAGAACAGACAAGACTCAGAAGCTCTGGATCCTAGACCCCCAATAACCCAATGTTTTGAAAATCATTGTCTTTAAATGGAAAACAGAAGGCCACAGATCTTTGATAAACTGCTGCTGCTGGAGCCCCTGGGCCCCTCACAAACACCCATTTCCAAGGAGCCCTCAATGCTACTACCACATTAACAACAGAACTCAAAGGATCACTTTATAACAGTTACAGACAAAATAAAAGGATCTCCCAGAGAAGCTGGGTTCACACATGTCTACTGGACGGCTCTCTCCTGACTTCTCAAATGGACATACATCTCTTAGGAAGAAGAGTCAAACACTTGCTAGTTACATGACTATCAAGACTAGATGGAGTTTGGGGGTCTAAAGAAAGAACTAACCTTTGGACACTGTGCTAGCTTATTTACTTTCTTAGTTTCTCACCGGTAAAAACGGGATAGTAAGACTTGCACAATCTACTTCATAGAGCAGTTGTACTTTAAGATTTGCTGTTCAGTCATATCTGACTCTTCATGACCCCATGGACCATACTGCCCATGGCGTTTGCTCTGCAAAGACAGTGCAGGGGTTTGCTATCTCCTTCCCCCGTGGATCCTTCTGTCAGGCAATTAGAGGTTAAGTGACTTGCCCGAGGTCACACAGCCAGAGGCCAGATTTGAATTTAGGTATTCCGGACTCCAGGCCCAGTGTTCTTTTTACTGAACCATCTAGCTGCTTTAAAATTAACAAAGGCTCAGATAATGTGGACTATTACCATTAGGTCTGGGTTGGGGAAAGTCTCCATAGAGTCAGGATCAAGTCAGATCTAACCCAGACCTCCAGAGAACAGCAGCCAACCCTCTCCCTCTGGGACCTTCGGCAAATTGTCAATTTGCCCACAGCCACAGAAAACATTAGTGCTTTCAGACACCTTAGAAAAAGTCATCCAATCTAAACATTTTTTTGCATCTTGGGCACCCTAAGCATGCTGGTAAAGCCTATAGACCCTTCTTCCAGGTAATGGCTTTAAATGCATAAAATCACACAGGATTACAAAAAGAAACCAGTTATCAGGATATATTAAAAGAAAAACCCTAAGTCCACAGGCCGACCCCGGGTTAAGAACTCCCCATCTAGTCCAAACCCTCCTTTTGCAAATGAGGAAATTGAGGCCCGGAGAAAGGAAACCAGGCGCTACACACGTTAAAGGCTGTGAGCGGAGCCTGAAATCGGCGCTCCTTCCGAAGCACGCAGCCTCACTTACCTGTCCCGGGCGCCGGCGTCCAACGGGCTGGTTGGGGAGGGGAGGCCGGGATAGGGGAGGTCCAGGGAGAACGTCTCCCGACCTACGGTTTTTCACCTCGGGTCCACGTGGATCGTACCGCCGATGAGCTTCCGGAAGTAAATCGCCGTCTGAAACTGCTTCCGCTAGCTCCTAGGTAAAGGGGAATGCGCCGAAGGGGGTGCAGGGGGAAGTGGGCGGGAAATCAACAACGGAAGGACAGAGGCGTTCCAACTCCAACCAATCGGCGATGAGACTCGCGTTCCTCTAGCCCTATTAGCGTACGCCGGAGAGGGAAAGGCAGGCTCTTCCGAGTCGGGGTTGGGGGCGGTGGCAGCGGACAGTGAAGGGCAGCGGCAGCGGAGGATTCGGCTATCGGGTGAGTAAATTGCAGACGATCCTGGACCGCTAACTCCTTCTTCTGGGCCCCTCACACGGCGCGTCAGGGGCCCTAAGTCCCTTCGGGTCCCAGAGTATCGCGAAGTCTGAGGGGACGCTTTAATGGCCGAGTTCCTCGCGCGGCGGAGGCCACGGCCAGCAGGCCGGAGGGGGCCTGGAGGAGAATGAGAATGAAGGAAGGACCCTGGCAGGAGGGAGTGGAGTCCTGGTTGAAGAACTTTCTTATGGCCTGGCCTGTAGTTTTCATTTCCCTCCAGTCCTTTTCATTCAAGTATACCGAAAAAATGGTGGTGGTGGGGAGGGGGAAGCTGGGAAAGGAGGGGGGGGGGAGCGGAAGGCCCTGGAAATGGAGCGGTGACAGGTGGTCAAGAATTGAGGTCAATAGCAAGGAATGAGGCAGGGCGAAGAATCATGGGGTGTCGGGGGATGGGAGAACCCTAGAAATAAATGAGCTGTAGTCCACAGGAAGAAAGGGGCCATGAGGGGAAAAAAAGTAACGCGTCTTCGATCACGTGGTAAGACACCTCGGGTACCAAAGAAGAGAGAGACAGAGGACCAGGAGTGAGTAGGGAGTACAGGAGCAAACTAGTGGTTTCACGTTTGAAAGACAAGAGCTCCGAGTTTGGTGGCCGACTCAGATGTGTCTCTTGTCTCCTTAGCATCTTCTCCAGAACTAAGCACATAGGGGTCCATTGAGTACAGAGGAGAGAATGAAAGTCATTTAAGTCACATGCTAATATATGCAAGGTATTTTGGAGAACGTGAAAGGCAGCCTAGCATGGAGTATAGAAAACTGGTTTCTGACACTTGGAAAACCTGGGTTTTCCTGCCTCTGATATAGCCTGGCAGCTGACCCTGGGCAGGTCACTTAATCTCTCAGTGCTCTAGGCAGTACTAAGACCGTAAGTTACAGGGAACGTACCTGCATTGGTAGAGGAAGTTTCGACACCTGAGAGTTCCTATACCAATGGAATCATAAGTCCAGTTCCTATCTCTACTTTGGAAAATTCAGAAACATGAGATGGGGTTCCTGTGCCCTAAGAACTCTGTTTGAGAAGATAAGCACAAAACAACCATAAAAGAAGAGATTCAACATGGCTGTGGGTGATTAGTCTTAGATTTAGAGCTGGAAGGGCCTATGTTATCAAAGCCTTACCCTTAACAAAATATTAAAAAGAATATTAACCCTAGCACAGCAATAGAAAATTAAATATCATCTTTAGCAGGGGCAGGATTAGAAACTTCACCTCCTTATTTTGTTATTGCTGTGTTGATTTAAAGACAGATTGCAGTGGTGCTTTGACAAGAGTTTTGTATTTGGAGTCAGACTATATTTTAGTCCCTCTCTTGCCATTTATAAGCTTTATGACTTTGAACAAGTTGTATATATTCTCTTAGCTTGTTCCATCAGCCATAAAATAATAACTATAATGCTTTAAGTTGTATAATTCACTATGCACAAAGTTATCTTAATCTTTATAACAGCCTTGTTGTTCCTTGATTTAATTGTGCCCCACTCCTTTTGGGGTTTTCTTGGCAAAGTTACTGGAGTGGTTTGCCATTTCCTTCTCCAGCTCATTTTACAGTTGAGGAAACTGAGGCAAACAAGGTTAAGGGACATGCTCAAAGTCACACAGCTAGTAAGTATCTGAGGCCGGATTTGAACTCAAGTCTTCTGATTCCAGGCCCAGCACTCTTTCCACTGAGCCATCTAGCTGCCTTAACAACCCTGGGATAGGTGCTATTACCTCTACTTTACTGATGAGACTGAGAGAGACTTGCCCGGGATCACCCTCTATTAAGTAAAGTATCTGGGGCTAGGGTAGTACTTGACTACCCTACAGAGGTATTGTGAGGATCAGGTCAACAAGTTATTTAATAGTAAGCAGCAACTAAGAGCCAGGCATTTGCTAAGTAAGTACCAAAGATAAAAAGAAAGGCCAAAAATCCAGCAATGACATACAAACAATTATGTATAAACATGAGAAAATATATGTCAAGTGCTTCTTCATATAAATCATGAAGTACTGTAAAGATGTGAGCTCTCAGTATTTGAAGTGTAATGTACCCCTCCTCCCCACCCCCCCCAAAAGTAGGTGTTTTAGCTATACCATTGCTAGGACTTCGTATAGTTGGTGAAGCAAGGCAGCAGTGGATAGAGTGCTGGACTCAGCCATCAAGACACGTGTTCTAATCCTGCTTCACCAGGGACAAGCCACTCAACTGTCACTGTCTGCCACTTTATATAAAATGTTAGCAAACTTTAAAGTGCTGTGTAAATGTTAGCAACTATTATTAAGAAGTCCAATACCACCAAGGAGAAAGATGCTGATCAGTTAGTTGCTGTATTCAATTACGTTGCAATAAGTGTAACTTATTTGTTCAAATCAAATTGCAGCCAAATCAATTAATTGTTGGGTTTTTTCTTCATATTTAGGATTTCAATTATGGCAGGTCCAGAATCTGACAGTCAGTATCAGTTCACTGGTTTTAAGAAATACTTCAATTCATACACCCTTAATGGCAGAAAGAATGTAAGTATTTGGTGGTGATACTTTAGACACTCCTATTTTAAGGTAATTTAGATGTAACATTGCTTTTCTGATTGGTTTTATTCAGTATGTACTGGCAACTTACGGAGGAATCGCTTTGCTCATACTTTACTTCAAGGCAAGGTCTAAAAAAACTCCAGCTGTGAAAGCAACATAAATGGTAAGATATTGACATGATGTATAAAAACACTTGTAACTGAGCAGCACAAATTCTGAGTTTTGGTTCCTGAGTTACTTTACTTAAAGAAGGTTTTCTGGAGTTTAAAGTTTATTGGTAGGCTATATTACAGGTGAAAAATGCCTATTATACAAAAAACATGAGAATATTAGTATTTCAGAGAGCAACTTTCTTCTCATAGCATTTTGGGTATTTTTAAGGGATAGAGCAATTTGAGTTTCACCTTACATATTTGGAAAAGTGATATTCTCTCTTAGAACTTTAAGCATTTCTTTGCTCTTTAGCATTGTTAACCTAAAGTTTTCTGCCAAATTCTCAAATTAGTTTTTAATCACTATAAAATTGACGCCCTTAGAACATATAATTTAAATCATAGTTTGAATCATGTGTTTCTAAATAGTCCCCTGGATGTTTGGATATTAACAATGATAAAGTGTCTGTAGCAATTATATTTAATTGTTTATTGATTTTTTTTGATGAGGCAATCAGGGTTAAGTGACTTGCCCAGGGTCACACAGCTAGTAAGTGTCAAGTGTCTGAAGCCAGATTTGAACTTGGGTCTTCCTGACTTCAAGGCTAGCCCTCAGCAATTATATTTTAACAAATACATTAATTACAATTAATTTTGTTAGGTGGAATAAACATGTTCTTTTCTTGGGACACTCCATCTCTACTCATCCTTTCCAGTCCAATTCAAATAACACCTCTAAGAAGCCAAGCTTCCCATGTCCTCCCAGTCTGTAGACCTTTACACCCCATCTTCCCTCCAAAGCTTATCTAATACTTGGCTTGCATTTCATGCACTTCTATATTTTGTATTATATGTAGACCAATAGACCTTAAACTTTCTAAGGGTAGATACTATATTGTATCTTCCCTAGAAGCTAGCATAGTATTCTGTTCACACTATTTGTTCAATGTTTATTAAACTGAATTCTCAACTTCTGTTTATATAATGTTCTTTTTCCAAAGTGAATACTATGGCATCAAATGCTTATTAACAAATGTTTGAGAGGCAGCTAGGTGGCACAGTGCATAGAGCTCCAGTCTTGGAGTCAGGAGGACCTGAGTTCAAATCTGGCATCAGACACTTGACACATAACTAGCTGTGTGACCCTGGGCAAGTCACTTAACCCCTAATGCCTCACCAAAAAGGCAAAAAAAAAGTTTGCCTTTAAATTGGTATGTGTATTCACATTTATGTTTTTGGGTTTTGCTTTCATAGGAGTCCAGTATGTGTGTGTGTATATGTGTATACTTTGTCCATCATCAAGTTCCCTGGCTGAAGGACCTCCTGCCAACTTAGCATGTGATCTGCAAGTCTTGAAATAAAACATGAACTCAGAAAAGTTGGCTTGTTTTTATTTACAAGGTATCAAAAATATAAAAACTGTACAAAATACAACAAAGGCAGAAAACTGGCAGTGACTTGTCTAACTCTGCTTTTAGTTTCCCAAAGCAAGGCTCTGTATTGGAGGTAAGCAACTGAAATGTCTGCATTTGACTTCAAGTGTATTATAGTTTGTATATCAGCTAACTGGGACCGAAGTTTAGCTGAAGATCTTTATTCTAAGCTCCTTCCACAAAAGGTTATTAGTTTACAAGGAGGAGACTAGGGAAACATAGGAAGTCACTTCCCATGTGAATCAGTACTTTATTGTCTTCATAAGAGAATTTCTTTATTAACAGGACTTATTCCTTCACTGGCTTATGAAATTCTCAGTTGCACTTAAGTTGATTACGCAGACTTCCGTAAATAGTGCAGTGAGACTTATTCATGAGGCCAAGAGGTTTATTTAAATTAAGACTAGGCCCCTGCTTATTTGATATCAGTGGGCTGAGAGTGTATGTGATTGTTCAAGGTGAAGAACAGTTAGGAAAATATTAGAGTAGGCAACTGGTCTGTAATACTTAAGTACTGGGTACTTAAGTGCCAGACAGTAGCTAAATTTCATTTTTTCATATCAGGAATATACCCAGGTAGAGCTTCATTCAACCTAAACTTAGTGTTACATTGGACACTAAGGGCTTTGAATCTTCAAGTGGGCAAAACGTATTGAAGTCAATAATTATAGTTTTTTTTTTTAAGAAAATAAATTAAGATGGAATTTGAACAGAAGATGCATAGTTTCCACATAATCCAAAGCACCGTTTTCTTCCTACAGCATCCATGCTTTGTATCCGACTCACAAAAAGTAGTTAAATATGCAATTGCTGTAGAACTGTTGTCCAGTTAAGATTTCCAAGAAGCCTCCTTCCAGATCCTTTTAGATAAGACACTCTTTGTGGCTTAAATGTTAATCTTTGAGGTATTTTACTTTTTAGTATCTTTTTTTTTCCAAGAGTGGCTTTCAAAAAGTCTTAATACAGATGATTTATTGTGGACTATAAGCTCCTGCAGCTAAAACCAAGTTTCTTCGAGTAAAATGGAGATGTACAACTGGTGTTGACTTGGTCATATAGGTTCCCAACAGTAAATCCTGAGAATTTTCAGGCAAGTTTATATGTCCAGTGGCTGTAGTAAAATCATCAGTCTCTAGGTCTTCAAATGCTTTTATAGCATCCCACAAACGAACTGTGTTATCCATTGACCCTGTGGAGAGAGTATATTTATTACATCATTAACTAAATTCTGATGTTCTATTAAATTCTACATTTTAGCACTTTTAACAAGGTTTCTGATAAAGGGCCAATTATGAACAATGTAAAATATCAAATAGGATTAAGCCTAAGAGAATAATCCATACCACTGAACAGGTTTGGAATTGCTATGAAGGAAAGTAAAAAATGAGTAAAGAATAAAAAGAGTTTTTTAAACTAATCAAGACACAGAATTACTTTTTTAACACACTTATCCTCCAACCCCTTTATTTCTACTTCCTTACCTGATGCTAAAATTTCTCCATCTCTACTAAACTTAAGTGAACATACTGTATCTGTATGGCCTTTTAATTCTCCAACCATCAAGCCATGTCCAATATCCCAGAGAAGTACCCTGCCATCTGTTGCTCCAGTAGCCAGGAATCTCCCATTGGGAGAAAACGCCAGAGAATGAATTGGTCCCTATAATGTAAAAACCATGTGAAATTTTTTTTTTTAGAAAAAAGGTTTCAAATAGTTTCAAACTGCAAAGAATGGCAACTGAGTTTTCAACTACAGATTCCAATAGGAGTACAAAGTAGTATTTAAAATAAAAGTATGTATTACTGTTCATTTAATGAAATTAGGACCATTTTTCTCCTAAAAAGCAATGACATTTTGTTGATGGTTTTATTTAAATTATAATTTACCTTATGTCCAGTGAAGATCCTTACACAATTCCCATTCAAGACATCCCATAGCCTTACTGTTCGGTCTGCTGAACCCGTAGCAACATAGTTAGAGTTTGGATGAAACCGTGTACAGTTCACGTCAGCAAGGTGGCCAGCAAATATTCGTAAAGGCTGGTAATGATCCGTAGCCCATAGCCTCAACAAAAACAAACAGAAAGGCAGCTTTAAAACGAAGATAAAGCATAGGTCCCTGATGTTAGTATGTTCTACCATAAAAGATGTGGTACTAAAACTACCGCAAAATTAAATGTTTATTAAACTGAATGGCTATCAAGGGAAGAAAAAAAGCAGATTTCCATTTTTAAGATCTGTTGACAGAACTATATGCTAATTACTATGGGGGGGTGCATTTCCTTCCTCCTCTTTTCCTCCCCCCAAGTCTCTGGAAGGAAGCTTTTTGGAAATCTAACCTAGAGAGAGCAATTGCGTATTTAACTACTTTTTGTGAGTTAAATAGGAGGTAAAAACACTATATAAAGAATATGTGGAAATTATATATTTTCTGTTCAAATTTCATCTTATTTAACATCTGAGCAAAATGGGAAGTGAATTTTTTATTAAAGTAGTGCTGCCTTTAATGTAACTGCTGTGTTAAGGGAAATAAGTTAATTTAGTGTCGCTCTAGGCTTCACATAAGGAAAAACTTCTGTGCACCAGAGCTACCCATAAGTAGAATGGGCTGCCTCAGGGGAAGGTATGGGTTAGGTCCTATGAAGAGACCTTTGAGGAAAGGCAGCATGACATGTTATGTGGATTTTGTAGAGGGGACTCCTGTTCTGGTATACACTGGACTAGATGACTTCTGAAATTATATGGTGGTTTTTCTCTAATTCTGTCATGATTCACTGTCCAGTCTGCCCTAGAAAAGTGGTAGGATTTCAGATAAGGCAATATGGTCTATTAAAATGGTTCAACCATTCTGAGAAAAAAAGTTAGAATAGTAAGTGCTTCACCTTAACCCTTTGACCCAGTTTTCCTACTACTAAAATACACTCCCACCAGGTCAAAGACAGAAAGTCCCCATATAGACCAAAGTATGCATAGCAGCACTTGCGGTAGCAAAGCACTACAAAGTGATACTCATCAGATGAGGGATAGCTGAACAAAGGGATAGAGGAATGCCATAGACTATTACTGCAATGAAGAAAGAAAAATTTAGAGAACTTTATGATTACAATAATGTACATTTTAAAAAAATACTAAATGGAAGCCAAACTTCAAGTAATCATAATCCAATCTCAGTCCCAGCAAACACATAATAATATGTATCTTCTCAGCAGAGGTGGGGGGAATAAGGGCAGAATGTTGCATATATTCCAAATGGCACATTTTTATCTTTCAGTTACAAAAAAGTTTGGAAGGGGGGGAAAAGGAGAGGGAGAAACTATTTAAGAAAATCGATTTAAAAAAATCAACAGGAACATTTTATTCTGTCCATATCAGTCATCCCCTTTTTGCCTTATTCTACAAAAGTGATGACAGGGTGAAATGATGGTTCAGATTGGGGTGAGTATAAGGTACAGAAAAGGAGGGCTGATGGTATTCACGCAGTTGCAAGTAGGATGTTCTCATCCAGATCCAGCTCCTGTTTCTGTGTTAATTTTGAAATTTATAAGTATGATTAACTGTAGCACAGTACAAGTGATTAGAAATCACAAGCTCTGTGTCAATTTATCATTCTGTAAAATATGATAACTCAATGCTGTTTTAAGGTTTGTTGCTTGAAAGTCACTGAATAACCGTAAATCACATGTGGGAAAATTCTTGTTCCCAGTAAAACCTCATCTTCCTCTTTGACAAGTAAAATTTATATTCTTACCGAGCTACTCTGTCATGTCCTCCTGACACAAAATAGTATCCATATGGAGAAAATTGTGTGTCCCACACCGGATAGTTGTGTCCTTTGTATCCTACCAAACAAGTGAATGTTTGAAGACTCCATAGTCTAACAGTGCCATCTTCTGAGGAGGAAAGCAAGTAGTTTCTAAAAGGAAAAAGGAAAAAAGGATAAATGTGATTTCTATTCTAAATGAAAATTAGACTCCAAATCAGTCAATGAATGTTCTTTCTCTGTATGGCCACCACAAATGAGGCTGTTACGAAGAGCTGATTAACAATAACTTGCTGGCTTTGTTCCTAGATAGAATACATGGTGAGTACAGGAGTAGGAAGCCCCAAAGTGCTAATGCCAGCTATGCTGGTCAAGACTGAACACCCACCTTGTGCACAGCTCTGTACTAGGTATTATGGGCCATAAAGGTTTGCAAAGCACTTTAATTCTCTCATTTGAACCTTACAAAAACTGAGGTAGGTGCCGGAGTCACAAAGCCACAGTCTGAGGCAGAATTCAAATCCAAGTTTTCTTGAGTCCAAGCCCAGTGGTTATATGCTAATACACAATTGTCTTAGTTTCCCCATCTGTAAAATGTGAATACTACTTCTGCATACACTTCCTCACAGGGTTGGAAAGCTTTTTGTAAACTATAAAACACTTACGAAAGCGAGCTCTACTTTTGCCAAAATTTATAGAAATGCTAATTATGTTCCCATGCCACCTTAATATAAAATTCAAATCTTCAGAAAGTATTTTTGTGGCTTAGCACTGAAAATAGAATATTTCCCCTGCCCAACCATAAGATAATGTCATTTTTAAGACATTTTGTACCTAAGGCAAACTCTTGCCTCTCAAAACATTTTAATGACTAAGGAATTGTTTTGAAAAAGATGAATTTATCCAAATAAAAATTCTTAACTAAGCACACACAGAACATGTAACCATATAAAATGTTCTTATTCCTGGGGGGTAGGGTCTAGAGAGCCACAAGAGACGTGTTCATAGAATCACAGATTGAGAGCTTAAAGAAACCTTAGATTGTCCCTCTCGTTTTACAGATCAGGAAATGATCTCAGAGAGATCTGGTGCCTTGCCCAATATACAGGTAAGTATTAAGGCCAGGATTCAAACTCAGGTCCTCTGACAAATTCAGGCACTGAATATTAGCCCTTCAGTGTTTCTTCCAATTGGGCTTTTCTTTCTGTTTTAGTCATAACTCTTAAAATAGTATTGAAGAAGTATTTTCATTGATCTTCTGATTACAACATGATGAAAGTCTCAATCAGGCGCAATTATGCCCTTTATATGTAATTAAGAAGGTATCAGGTATCAATAAAGAGGTTTGTTCAAAGATAGCAGCAGACAGTGAGAGGTAGCTGAACCCAACTCAGTATGACCATCAGATTCTCAAAATATAAAATCCCCTAATTTAGAGAGTTTAATGTAGGAGAAAATGTTTGTGAGGTACTTTCCAAACCTCAAAGTGCTAAATTTCAGGATGACTTATGAATGCTAACTGGGCTTACCCAAAAGCAAATGAAAAGGGATGAGATCATGTTGAATTTTCAAATGAGTAAATTTGCTTTGCATGTTTCCCATGACAACCCTTGAAGAGACACCTTCATTAGGTTATTAGTACTATCCAGTGTATATTTTAATTGTTATTCCTTTGTGCTGGGGCCCTGAAGTAAATTAACAAAAGGCAAGATCCTTAAATCTAATCATAATGAATATGTGCAATATTAGAACTTTTCAGTGATATCTTAATTTGCATAATGCAGCTTTAGAAAATATTCTGCCCAATCGAAATATGTTGCCTTATTTTCCTTTTCTCCTTTTCATATTTTACCTGTCAGGACTGAAGCTTGCTCCATAAACAGGCCCACTGTGACCATATAGAATCTTCAATTCACTTGCTGTTTTCTCATCCATGATTCTTTCTAAAACATCATCTGATTCTTTGTCTATGAGGCTGAGATCTAGAAAAAATTTCAGACAGCAATAATTTAAATGGCACTCACCAAAAACTGACTGACCACATCATAATTTAACAATATATCACTCATCTCACAATTAAGTATTGTTATTCTTTATGTCATTCTTTAAGATTTTTGTCCAGTATTTTATACTAAAATGTTACTACCAGAAACCAACTTCCCTTAAAATGAGGCTTTGCCCTAACTTATTTATTCTTTCACTACAAAAGCATCTCTTTTTGTATGTAAAATGAAAACCCTTATCCATACTTTTTACGTGATATTCTGGTGTTATACATTCAAGGAATATGGAAAAAAGTTACTCTTATAAGCTAAAATGAAACCAAGTAGAACAGAAGTTTATGGCAATGGCCTTAAGATCAGAAGCTAGGGGACTTTATGGATTCCTAGTAGTGTAGACAAGTAAATGAAAAAAGTCATAATAAAGTATTTCTATTACCTGTTGCTGTCTTCACACTACGAAGCTTTTTGGGAGTCACAGACCATACTCTAACAGTGGAGTCAGCAAAACCTCCTGCAATCAGACTGGAATCATCAGTAACATCAACTGCCGTGAGACCCTGTCAGTAAAAAGGAGAGAAGTTTTAACAGGAAATCATATTGTGAGTACGGTATTCATACTGAAAAAATATTAAGTTCCTTCTATATGCCGTGCATTGTACTGTACTGGGGGAGGCAAAAATAAGACAAGATGCCAGCTCTCAAAGTGGGTTTTGGTTTTTTTGTTTTGTTTTGTTTTTGCAACTGGGGTTAAGTGACTTGCCCAGGGTCACACAGCTAGTAAGTGTCAAGTGTTTGGTCTGAGGCTGGATTTGAACTCAGGTTCACCTGACTTCAGGGCCTGTGCTCTGTCCACTGCGCCACCTAGCTGCCCCTCTCAAAGTATTTTCAGTTTAGAAGGGGCAGTTAGATAAATGCATCTCATCCTCAACATGTCCAAAACAGAATTCATCTTTCCCCCAAATCCACCCCTCTTCCAAACTTCCCTCTTTCTGTCAAAGTTCCTGCCTTTCTTCTGGTCTCCCAGGTTTTTAACCTTGGTCTTATCTTCAGTTTCTCCCCCTACTCAGTTGCCAAATCCTTTTTTTTTTTTTTTAAGTGAGGCAATCTGGTCCTCCTGACTTCAGGGCGCCGGTGCTCTATCCACTGCGCCACCTAGCTGCCCCTCAGTTGCCAAATCTTAACGATTTTTTTCCTCCTCTACATCTTTTGCATCTGACTCATCTCTGCTCATACAACCACCATCTTAGTCTGAGCTCTTCTCACCTCTAACCTGGGCTCCTACTCTAGCTCCATAATGGGTCTTCCTGCTTCAGCTCCCCCACCCCATCTTCTACATAATCAATCAGTCTCCAAGTACTTATTAAGAACTGGGGATACAAAGGCAAAAGTGAAACCAGGTTCCTGCCCTCAAGGAGTTTACATTTGAAGAAAGACAATGAGTACGCACATTAAGTATATACAGAATGTCAATGGAATGAACACACAAGGCAGTGTTGGGAAGGGGGAGGCCTTCATGTAGATGTTCCTTGAGCTGAGCGGTAAAATAAGCCAGGGGTTCTATGTGGTGGAGGTGAAAAAGGACAGCATTCCGCTCATGTGGGATGAGTAGCAGGGACATGGTGAGCCAGGTGACAGTGCCATGTCTGTGGCCCATGTCTGAGGACCAGTAAGGCTGACGTCACAATGTGAAAAGACTGGAAAGGCAGGAAGGAGCCATGATTTTCCTTATGTGCAGAGCTAGCCAAGTCACTGCTCCCCTACTCAGTAAATTCTAGTAGCTCCTTATTGCTTCTACTCAAGTGATCTTTCACCTTCCACCTACCTGCTTCCCTTCATTTTTAACTTTAAATCATCTAAGTTTTTCCTGAAGCATATAATTAACAACAAACTAAAATTAAGAAATTTTTGTTATAAACACACAGGGAAAATTTATGTACAGTACTGTATAATCTTAAGTATAAACCTCTTAAGCTTATAAAATGCAGACTACAGAAACTTCCCAAGCCTAACAGAATAAAATCATGAAGCATCCTATTTCTCAGAAGTTCAGATAATTCTGATCGAATTCAATAATAAATTGACACTTCAGTGTGATTGCTACAAATCATAAAAGACTTTCCAAGGAATAGTGTACATTTTTTTCTAATCCTGTCCATCTTACCTATGTGCTGTCTTTAATGAAATCACATTCATACGTTAAATCAAAAAGCAAGGTTACATCTTCCTCAACCCAATTTTAGGCTTATTTTAACTATATTTCACAGGCAGTTTTTCAAAATCAGTTCAAACTTATTCTGTCCTGAACTTCCACTAATATTTCACTAACCTGATAGGCATTAAGGAATGTATAGAAACAGATGGAAGGTAAACAATCTGGACCAAGACGAACACGTTTCGTGGTTTCTTTCATATTCATTATCTTATCCAACTTATCTGAATCTTTCAATTCAGGAAGAGGAATTCTATGGGAAAAAAAAAAGAGCAGCTTGTCAAATAATGCTTTGGTATTACCAGATATGAATGAGCTACCCTCATGGAAGACCCCATCTGGTTGCCAAGGCTTCTCTCTAACCTGTTTTGAGGTGGAGCATTAGGATCTTGTTTTTTGCTTTTAGATCCCATACTATCTTTTTTAGGTTTCTTTTTTTTGGGCTTTCCTTCCTCATTCTCCCCTTCTTCATCTTCATCATCCAAAGGAACTTCAATTTCGGGTTCTTTTAACAAGCCAAAAAAAACCTATAAATCAAAAGAGCAAATATTTCAAAGAAATACATACTTTCAGGCATTTCTAATGCACTTTCCCCATTGATGCACAGTGAAGTAAGATGCTGACAAGATGGCCAGTGTTTAAAACAAACTATGTATACCCATTCATTAGAAAACGAAACATCCCTATCACTGTAACGTCACTTCATTGTGTGGGCCCCAATTTAGCACAATGCCCAGCACACAGCAGGTGCTTAACAAATGCTTATTGACAGACTGATTGGCTAAAAGAACGTGTGAGCTGATCCATTGGAAATGCTTCCGATTCTGATTCTCTGCATGATACGTGTCCCAGGACTGGGCCCATACCTTTGCCTTATTTGCCTCTCGCTTTGCCTCTCCGGCCAAACTTCCCACCATAGCATCTATCTGTTGCTTACTCCGAGGCATCCCATCGAAGATGTCAATGTACAGGTGCTCCTGGACTATGTTCCATATTTGGTTGTTCTGTTTCTCCTGAAGGTGTCTTTTCAAGAGTTGATAAGAGTCCCGGGAAATGCGCAAAACAAATTTACTTGTTCGAAAATCCAACATGGTCTCATTCCCTTTCATGTGCTCCTTTTTGGTAAGGCTAGATAACACTCGAAGATCATCCTGATAATAACATTCCTGATCGCCATGAAACCTATTTCAATTTTTAAAAGATTAATTTTAATAACTAGTTTTTTCTTCATTATCACTATGATATTTGCCTCCCTCCCATATATCCTTAAGTAATATTGCTGCACCTTCAAAGCAATCTGCTAAACGGGGATTAATACAGCTAGTGCATTAAGAATAAATTTCATCTTAACTTATTCTAATTCAATTCTTAAATTCAGCCATTAAGATTCTATACAATAACCATTTCATCTGCCAATGAAATGCACAACACAATTTCAAAAGGAGAAGTAAATAATCTGTTACTGAAACTAAAGGCAAGAGAAGTGCAGCCATTATTTTAGCATTTGGGAACATTCATTTTAGTAATAATAGTAACATTTACATGGCATATCATAGTTTATCAAAGTGTTTCCGCATCTCCTTTAATCCTCACGATAACCCTATGACAAAGGCAGGATAGGTATTATTATTCCATTTTACAAATGAGGAAACTGAGATCCAGGCTTGAGTGACTCGCCTACAATCACATGACTAAGAGGTGGCAGAGCCACGCCTTGAGACTCAAACCCAAGTCTCCTGATCCCAAGTCCAATATTCTTTCTACTACAACACAAAATGTGTCTTTATTTAAAACTGGATTAAATAAATGTTTCAACATGATATTTAAGTTTTAAGTATTTACTTACTATATGAACCATATTAAATATCATTTTAATATACATGTTATGGCTAGGGCCCTTCCACTCCTAAATTTATCATTATAAAATGCTACTGATAGCAAAAAAGAATTAAACATGCACATTCATTATTCCAAAAAGTAATTGAGTAAGGTCTTTTGGTCTTAATAATAAATACTTGTTTTTCTATGTATAAATCTCAAATATAAAAACTGTTTCACACTGGCTACATTTCATATCATGCTGAGCCATAAAAGCTAAATTAAAAATAATTACACTATCTGCCTCACTAGGGTATTATAAAGAAAACACTTGGCAGAACTTAAAGCACTACATAATGAGCTATATTATTATTTTTATTGAGGGTACTCAGAGGCAAAAATCTAGAAACAGAAATATTTAAGGTTAGGTTTTAGCTCTGATTCACAGTTCAAAGATTACTGTAGTGTTCATTCATTAGTGTTCATTCACTTCCATTAATTCATTTTCACTGTTAGGCACTGGGAAAAGGGCAGGGTTTTTTCTGTTCTGGTTACTTTTTAATAGATGGAGTATTTTGCTCAGACTTCAAGTACAGCAGCCACACAAGGGCCAGGTCCTAATATTGACTGTTTCAGGAGTCTTGACCTGCTTGGTTTCTTAGTGGGGCAGGCTCACTTAAGTAGCCTAATGGCCCTCTACTTCCAGGGGCTCATTATATTGGAGTCAGACTTAGTACAAACACCCTAGCCTACTACAAACCCAAGGCCACCAGCTTCAGCCTCCTGGATAGCTGGGATCACAGTTGTTACCACAACCAGGGGGTGGGGGAAGATTATAAACAATTAGGATATAGTGGCTGACCTTTTGGAGTTTATAATCTAACAGGAGGCAAAGTATTGCATATAGAAAGTTCACTTCAAAGGTTCCTTCCAGGTCTGAAATTTTATGATATAGAAATATGTAAACCTATCTAATAATATAGGAATTATAGTGCAGAATAGAATATTCTGGCATAAAATAGGTAATAAAGTACCATATGAGATCAGAGGAAGTAAAGATAATTTCTGACTGAAAGGACAGAGTTTGAGAAAGGGACCAGGGAAGGCTTTCAAGTGGTCTGTATATTCATCTTCAGGAATAGGTAGTGTTTCAAAAGGCAAAAACGGGTGTGGGGGATGGGGAGAGACAACAGACACTCTACATAAAAATAATGGCATGACAAAGGTATGCATGTATTGAAGAGACAGGAAATTGTTCAGTTTGGCTATAGTGTTAACACATTGCATTGCATTGAAATGAATTGAAGTGAGTTATGAGAGATAAGGTCTGAAAGGTAAAGAGGTGCTAGGTTTTAGGTGATTTTTAATAGGAAACTAGAAGCTGGGCTTTATAGGCAATATGGAGCCATTAATGTATTTTGAGCAGCAGACTAACACGAGCAGATCTGTGCAAATAGGAATCTGGTGGCAATGTGAGGGATTGGCAGGACAAAAGACTAGAGGTGGGTAGGGAGATCAGCAGTCCAGGCAGATGGTAACAAAGGATTGCCCTTGGGAAGTGCAATAGGGAACAGGCAGGAGGATCATGAGATGATAGGATCCTGAGCTAGAAAAGGCCTTAGAGATCAGGTCAGGAAGGACAATCCTCCCCATCCTAGAGAGGAGGAGACTAAGGTGCCATGAGGTCTAATGACTAGGCCACGGTCCTAGAAGTACTGAGAAGCAGAGCAGGGATTCAAGAGGAGTGCCTTGTCTTAACGATGGCTGCATCTAAAAGACTTGGTGACTGATTAGACATGACAGGTGAGGAAGAAAAGAGTCAAGATAACACCACAAGATTCAAGCATGGGTGAATGGAAGGGCCCCTGCAGTAGGGAAGGAGTGGGTTTGGGGAAATAAGTTCTGTTTTGGACAAGTTGACTTTGGAATACCAATAGAACATTTGTTGTTAGAGACACATTACTCTCTTCTTACTAAATATCAGATGAATTCTGAGGTTTGGTCAGACACTTGGCTGAAATTAGAAGTTTCAACCTCCTGAGCAAATGAGTGGAGGCTAAGCATTCAGCTCAGGGCCAGGCCAGAAGAGTATACCATCTATACTTACATCTAGGGATCCAAAGAAAGTACTGGCAAATACAAATACAAGGCAAGGAAAGACAGTCCCTTATTCTGATCACTCACCCAGAAGAACCTGAGGAAGTAGCAGTAATAAGAGATGGAAAGAGATGGAAATTTCTTAATGATGGGAGTAAAATAAGAATAAATCCTTGGAAGTAAACCCCAGTCACTGGTGATTAACTTTCTTCTACATTTTCAGTCATGCTACAGTATTTTATAATAAAAGCATAAAGAAATAAACTTTTGTGAGGACTCCTGAAGTGCAAAGAGATCTAGACTAGGAGTCAGGAGACTTTGAGTTCTAATCTTGAATCCTGCCACTAACTAGACTTGTGACGTTTGACAAGTCATTTAAACCCCCTGGGTCTCCAATTTACTCATGTATTAGAAAAAGGCTGAGCTAGGTCACTTCATATGTTCCTTGTTGTAATTAAATGTTGTAATTCTACAATATAATATATGGATAACCTCAAATACAATGACATTCACATACTTCTCAAAGAATGATTTTGCTTCATTTTCATGCTGATTGTAGACCAATTCCAAGTACATATGTACAAAGAGAGGATAAAATAACTGAGATAATTCTGCTCGATGACAGTCCAAGGAGCATTCAATGAAATGTTTTAGTCCACTGTAATACTCTTCATACATTGCTGGATCCCCTTGCTGATTGTAGGCAGACAACACTGCACTGACATCAGGCTGGTCTTCTACAGCAACTACTCCAACTGCAAAAAGAAAAAAAAAAGGACTTCAGGGAGAACGAAACACTGAAACCTCTGGCATACTGTCCAGGGGTGAAGCATGACTCACACCTATTCCCTCATCCTTCTCCTCCCCTCCCCCAACACATACAAAGAATTCCAGCTTGTCTATGGGCCTTTTCATATTGCCACATACATCTACCACCTTGTTATTTCTGTGACTACTATCAAATAATCCAAAGTCAAACAGCAAAAATAACTTAATAATTTATCTGAAGCGATTTCATTTTAAAAATGTGATCCCACCATTCTTTAAATTCTCATGGCACTCTGTACCACTCATATAGATCCAATACGCTTGGCATATAAAGTCCTTCACAATCTGGCTCCAGCCTACCCTTCAAGATTTATTTCACATTATATCCTTTATGCATTCTACGTTCCAGTCACATTGGTCTCCTGGCTGTCCCCTGAGTTCAGCATTTCATCCCCCATCCCAGGGCCTGGAACTCACTTCTCCTTTAGCTCCACCTTTTAGAATCCTTGGCTTGTTTCGGTTCAAGTTGGTACATCCTACTTGATGCCTGTCCTAATCTCTATAGTTTTTAGTATTTTCTCTCTTCTCAAATCATTTCAAGACTTATTTACGTTTACTTATTGTATTCCCCTCCCCTCTCCTCCTCTCAAAGGCAAGGGCTGTTTTTGTTGCATGTGTGCACTCGGGTGTGCTCATGTAAAGGTGGGAGAAGAGGAGAGGAGGGAGAAAAAGGAAAGAGAGGGAAGGAAGGAGAGACTAGTACCTAGCACAGTGCCTTGAACATTGTAAAGGATTAATAAATGTTTAATTTAATTATTCTTCTGTGTGGTCCTCTCAATACCTAACAGGTCTTGACATGTAGTAGGTAATCAAATATTATCTAAATTAAATTGAAAAAAAGTTTTGTCAATCAACAAGAATTTATTAAATGACTAGTAGGTGCCAGGCACTGGGGATACAAGTACAAAGAATGAAACAATCCTTACTCGTAAGAAGCTTACATAAAATATTATACAAATGTTAATTTAATAGTCATGTTATTCTCTTTGGCAAAGAGCAAAGACCAAAGACATATATCCTTTTAATTGTCATACTGAAGTACAACGACAAGCTTTTCAGAAAAATCATAGTTTGTTTCTTGAAGGCTTAATGTAGATTCTTATATATCATATACAGTAATGTATGACTCATTAAAAGAGCACCCGCCCTGGAGTCAGGAGGACCTGAGTTCAAATCCGACCTCAGACACTTACTAGTTGTGTGACCCTGGGCAAGTCACTTAACTATGATTGCCTCACTGAGCCCCCCAACAAAAAAAGCAGCTTCCAGAAAGATAATCTGTCAACTGTACAGAATTTGTAAATTTGCTTTCTATGACCTTCTGCTCTCTGAGTCTCATTTTTCAGATCTATAAAACAAGGGGGGCTGGACTCTCCAATATTTCTTACAGCTCTAAATCCTGTGATTCATATGATTCTAAATTAACTTGATAAAGGAACAAAATGCTACTGTCACTTGAAACCACTATTATAGTAAAGTCACTGCTATCCAGGACCCCTAGGGAATAAATTAGTCTGGATGACTTACATCTTCAAACACCAAAGCCTTTTTTTTTTTAATTTAACTATTTGGGGAAGAAATCTTTTTAAATACAGTATACATTTCTGAGGATTCCAGATATAATTTGACCTTTTCTTCATGACTATGAGTCATCAGTATAAATATTAATTGCTATACTGTGCTGAAATAGCAATGCTCTGGGACATACGAAGGTATGTATTTCAATTCAATAAATATTTATTAAGCACCTACTATATATAAGGCAATGTGCTAGGTGCTGGGGACACATAGACAAAAATGAAAGTCCTTGCCTTCAAGGAGCACTTATTCTTAGGGGAGGGGGAATATAATACATACACAGAAAGGAAATACAAAATACACACATATATATATATATGTATTTTGTATATATATTGTATATATGTGTATATACATACATATATGTGTAAGTATACTGTATATATGTGTGTGTATATATATATATATATATACACACACAAAGCAATATTAAACAGGAAAGAGTAGTTTGCTCAATGACCCAAGACTGCTATGCTTTTCTAGTTCTTGTGTTCACATACTATAGCTTCTCTTTCCTCTATCAGTTGTCCCTCTTCATTACTAATAGCCTCAACCTTATAATAGTCAATTTCTGAGCTGGAAACTAAATAAGCAAGCTTGTTAGAACTATATATAAAATACAAGCCAACAAGCTCTGGATAAGGACTTTTCCTACAGGTAACCTACATGTATTTTTCAGATGGGTTTTGAGATATCTATTTTAGTGACTATTTTTGTTTACTCCTTATGTCTTAGCTGTGTTCTGAATAGGTAAGGTTGCCAGACAGAGTTCCAGACAGGTAAGATATCTAAAAGCTTTGCCCATCTATACTATGGGTTGTACTTGGTGCTATATAAATATTTATTCCCTTCTTTAAGTTAACAGAAGAGCCAACTTCTACAATCTACCATATATACTAGCCCCAGGAAATATTCATAAAATGTCATACCCTTGCCCAAACCCCACCAAAAAAAAAAAACCCCACAAAACTTTCCAGTCTTATCTCTCTCTACTCCCCTCCACAAGCCCCCTTGATCCAGTCAGGCTGGTCTTGCTACTACTAGATAATCTTTCCTTGGAGTTGCTATTCTTCCCCCTCTCACTCACCTAGATCATACTTATCCTTCAGGGTCCAGCCGAAATCTGACCTCTAGTCTACCAGACCTTCCTAGACCTCATTTAATACAAAAGTGTGAATTTCCAAAGCACTAATTTTCTGTAACAATAATTTGGCTACTTAGTCATATACCATGTCAGTCATAAAATATTAAGACCCTATGATATGCCAGAAACTGTGCTAAGCAGTGAAACTGAAAGGCAAAAGACAAGGAGTTCACAATCTAAAGAGGGTACAAATTTGCAAACAATTATGTACAAACGTGTTCTACAGAGGATAAATTGGAGGTAATCAACAGAGAGAAGGCACTGGAATTAAGGGAAATAGGAAAAGGCTTCCTGCAGAAGGTGGGCTTTTGGAAGCCTGGAAAGTCAGGAGGCTGTGATGTATTTGTTTCTTGCTGGATCAGTCTTATCTCTCCAACAGGATCTGTAAATTCTCATTTCTTTTCCAAACTTCACAGCACCCCCAGCAAAAAGCTATGCACACAAAGCATGCGGGTGCAGAAACAAAATAGCAAGGTTTAGAGTATTCGGGATTCGAGGAGTCAGGTTTTCAAGGCCGGATATGAGGGGAGCCAAGGAATGAAAGATAAAAGGTGGTTGATGTTTGAAAGGCTTTAAGGCACAGGGTAGCAAGGCTAGGGGCAAAAACATGAGGGCTAATCATGGGCACCGAGGAGCTCCAGGTGCCTCATTACCAATCCCTCCAGAATGGCCCTGGGCTTGTGGAAGGCTAGCATCCAAATCTGTGCTCATACTCCCACACCCCAGCTAGCACGGCCATCTCTCTATCCACCTATCCATCCATCCATCCATTCGTCCATCCTTCCACTTATGTATCCATCCATCCCTCCAACCATCCTTCCACTCATCTACCCATCCATCCTTTTAACCATCCTTTCGTCGGTCTATCCATCAGTCTTTCCCTCCGTCCATCAGTCCATCCGTCCATCCGCCCGCCCGCTCGCTCGCCACCCCCACAAGCAGGCAGGCAGGCAGGCAGGCAGGGACAGCTCCAGGCTCCAGGCGGAGGCTGTGCCCACGCGCTGGGCGCGCTCCGGAAAGGGGGCGGGCTGCGGCCGGAGAGGCGGGCCCAGGAAATTCAAACCAAACCCGCAGAGGAGCGGGGCCGGCAGCCCCTGACAGCTAGCCGGGCTTCCCCGCTAAGCCCAGGGAACCCTCCGACCCACCTTTGGCCGGAGCGGCCGCGGTCGGGGCGGCCCCTGAGCTCCCCGTGCCGGCTCCCGAGGCGGCGGGGCCCGCGGACGCAGGGCAGGCGCCGGGGCCGGGGCCGGAGCCCGAGCCGGGGCCCGGGCCGGTGGGCCCGGCGGCGGCGGCGACCCGGCTCAGCAGCGCGCTGGTGGCCTCGGCCCCGGGCCCGTCCACCTCTCCTGGGGCGCCGGCTCCCGCCGCCTCCTCCAGCAGCCGGGCCTCGCGCCGCAGGATCTCCTCGGACTCGCGTAGGTTGCTCCGCCGCAAGAACTGCAGCACGGCCAGCAGGGTCTGCCGGTCCTGAGAGGCGATGCCCTCGACAGCGGCTGCCGCAGCCCCGGCCGCGCCCCCCGGGGCTGCTGTCGCCGCCGCCGCCGCAGCTGCCGGAGGAACCACGGCGGGCTTCGGGGTCCCGCCATCGCCGCCGGCTGAGGACGCCGCGACACCGCCGCCGCCGCCTCCGTTATGGCTGCTGTTGTGGCTGCCCCCGCTGCCCTCTCCCGGACAGTCGCCCGGCTGCGTGGCAGGGAGCGCCGGCGGTCCCTCCGGGTCAGGCTTGATCACCACCTCCGTCTGCTCCTCTGCCAGCGCCGCCATCTTGCAGCCGAGCTCCCCAACCCGCCGCCAAGTGTGGCCACCTTTCCGCCGCTGCGGGGGCGGGGTGGCGAGCGCTTTGCGACGACACAGTGAGGTGGTTTACGGCAGCCTTGGGGGAGCCGGGGGCGGAGATATCAAGGGACGGAAGAACCGCGCTGCTTTAGGAGGGTAACGTGACGAGGTGTGCTCCTTCATAGTCAGCAAACGTTTTTGAGCCCCTGCTAGGATAATGCCGGCTCGTTCCACTCCCTTGTTCCCGATATTTAACCCGGAACCAGGCAGCAAAAGTCTTATCTGAGTCTTACTGATGCGGAGCAGGAAGACGTGCCCTGCCCGGACTAGGGGACGGAAAGGTGGCAGGCGGGGCGTCCACCTCTGACCTTCATTTTAGTCTCTTTCTATCGCGTCCAGGTGCCTGTTGCATGCAGGCCCTGCGCCTTTAAATGTTTTGGGGCAGAATTCCAGAAGAGGCATGTACGGGTTTTTAATTTCTTTAGATTTGTGTTGATATCATTTGTTTTTACATCATTTTCGTTTTCGAACACATATTCCTTCACTCTATCCCAGAAAGCCACCCATTGTAACCGAGTAAAACAGAGGTTTAAAAAGTTCAGCAAAACTCAGCACATCAACCGAGTCTGATACATGCAGTGTTCCACAGCCATAGTTCTCAGACCTCTGCGAAGAAGAGAAGGGACATTGCAATCTCATAGCTCTTCTTTGGGGTCAGGCTTAATCACTGTAATTTCACACCATCCAGTTTTGATTCCACTGCTAGGAATACCCCAAGGGAGTCAAGGATGGTATTACAGGATTCACCTGATCTGATGGACCAGGGCACTTCTAATAGAACTGGACAAGTGTGCTTTGACCCCATAGAGGGACACATGCTCTGATCCATTGCTGAAGGAGGTACCCAGTTTTATCAAATTTCCAGTGCCTGGGGGCTGTGTCAAAGGGGACATCCAGTGTATGATCTATAAGCTAGGAGAGTGACTTCTGACATCTTTTGAGCTGGTTTCTTTGTTGGGACATAGCATCCAGAGGTTGGGTCTCTAACTCCTAGACCAAACTCCCTTCCTTGGCTGTCATTGTCCTTTGTGTATTGTGTATGTCTCCCTGTGTTAGGATATGAGCTTCATGTGTTTCACTTTTGTATTTGTTACACACTTTGTAATATTTTATGCATGTTTTGTTGTTGTTTAGTCGTTTTTCAGTTGTGTCCCATTTAGGATTTTCTTGGCAAAAATACTTGCCATTTCCTTCTCCAGCTCATTTTACAAATGAGTTGCTGAGGGAAACAGGGTTAAGTGACTTGCCCAGGGTCACATAGCTAGTAAGTGTCTGAGGCTGGATTTGAACTCAGGTCGTCTTGACTCTGCTTCAACACCTAGGTGCATGATATGCATAACTTCGTATTATAATGGGTGTCATATTTCTTACCTTCTCAATGAGTAGGGGAGGGGGTGAAGGAAGGAAGGTGAAGGAGGAAGAGAATTTGAAACTGAAAGTAATTTGTTTTAATTTTAGAACAAAGCATGCTTTGTAATAGAGGTATTTTGTATCCTCAACATTTAGCATGGCACCTGGCACATGATAAGCATTCAATAAATGCTTTTTCATTCATTAATTTGAGAGGATAAGTATAGGGCATAGGAGTTACAGGTCAGAAAAATTCAGGTCCCCCTAGTGGGAGGTGAATGCTATTGAATCATTCAGTTAGCATTAGCTCATTCAACAAGCATTTATTATTCAGGGGAGCTCGACAGTGATAATTGGGGGGACAGGGACTTGCAACAAGCTTCATTTGAGGGATGTGGACACTTACGATGTGGGGGCAAAGAGTGCCCTAGGATTAAAAATAATATTTAGGGTTACTTTCCCAGGCCCCTGAGGGGGTTTGAGGCTTATTCGGTAGCCCATCCTGTACCAAAAGAATTTCCTTTGCCTCCCTTATCCTGTGTTCCTTATCCTGTCATTTATCTTCCTTATCCTGTGTACAACCATCTTCCTCACTTTGTTTGTTCTAATCCTAATCTCCAACTCCCATGTGAAACTCTAAAAATATGCCATTATCCTACAGGCTGTATAGCTTTCTGTCTATATAAGCCTGGGTCTTTTCCTATATCAGCGCCTTTTGTTTAGCTGCTTGCTAACCTCAGTCCTGTGAAGCTTTGATGAAATATAGCTGCCAATGGCTACAGAGAAGGTCTCAGTGAATTCTTTCACAGCTGAACCACTGTCCCAACTCTAAACCTCAACACTTACTCTATAAAATGAGGGAGTTAAACCAGACAGTGTTTGAAGTTCCTTCCAATCAGTCCCTGCGTTCGTGAGATTTGTTGTTTTTGGTCCTTAGTTTTTGAAGAGGACAAAAGAAGTTGTGGGTGGTGTCCTGACTTGCTTGGGAATCAGATTTAAGTGAGGCAGAGCTTAGAAGTCATCAGCCTCACTCCCTCTGTCAGGGTCATTGAAGTTCAGTGGCAGAATGAGTCAAGATGACTGATGGTGCTGTTATTATATAAATATACTGAATGTCTCCTTCTGTACCTCGCTTATCTTAATCACTTTACAGCGACAAAAGAAAACTCATAGGACTTTGAATAGTTCTGTTCAAACTATCTTCCAGGAGAATTTTATTCTCCTTCTATACCCTAATCATTTTACTGTCCCAAAAGTAAATCTGTTGGACTTTGAATTTCTAAGAACTCACCTACTTCTCTTTGTCCTAATAAAGCACATAGTAGGAGCTTAATAGATATTAGTCAACTGGTTGATAAAGAAGAAACTGTTTTCCTTGGTCTGGCATGAATAGCTATGCTAAAAGGCCTTTGTCATAGTTCAAGCATCTTTTCACCTATTACTTACCAGATCTTACCCAAAACTGCTTTGTTAGCCTGCCCTTGGGCCCTACCTGATCTTACGCAAACTCTGAATCAGGAGGAGATAACTATATAGATGTCATCTGTGGAATTGTGAGACACACATATCCATCACCTATAGTGTGTCACACTCTTTAGTGGATAAATAAACTGCATTGGATCTGTTTGTATCCTGTGCTGGCTTACTCATGCAGTGCCTAGCAAGGACTGTGAAAAGTTTTGCAACAGGGTGCTCCTCAAAAATCTGCCTTCAGATGTTTCACCTTTACTTAAATCATTTTTCGCCTTGGCAAGAACAGCTTCAACTACTAACTCTAAGCAGATGATCCCTAAATCTATTGTCTCCAGCCTTGACCTCACTTCTGAGCCACAAGATTTAGGCTCTATTTGACACCATCTCAGCTCAGCCTTAATTTCAGTCAGTGAAATGAATCTTCCTCTGTGACCCGAGGCTAGTTCACCCCAACCCTACCCCCCCATCCAATGGGCCAGTTCCCTCCTTTGTAAAATCAAGAAGTTGAACTAGAAGAGATCTCTAAGGTCCTTCTAACCTTAATATGCTACTTTGTGGGGTGGGTGAGGGGAAGCCTCCCCCATTTTAGCCTTCTCCCCTATCTTTTTACTGTAAAAGTTACCACGCTATTCCCACCAAATCCCCAGTAATCAAGCTTCTTAAAATGCCATGTGAAGAATCAAGAGACCTTAGCATCTAGTAATAAAGAATTAGTTTAAATAGAAAGCTACCAAATGGCCCCATTAGTCTAGTGGCAGAAGATGGCCTTAGCAGCAACCTTTAATACCCTGGATATCTGCGTATTCTCCAACAGCCCCACCCCTCCAATTGAGGGGCCTTGTCTCGCACATTACTCTAGGCCCAGTTTACTCATGTTTTAGTATAAAAATTCCTAGTCATAGCTCTGGGACATTAGATGCTAGGGTGTCCTAGACTAGGAAAAGAGTATATAAGGAGTGGACTTAATACAATGTTTCTTAAAAAGTGGTGCTACAAATTCCAAATAAAAGAACAAATCAAGTTGGGGGTGGGGCTGGGAGGATTCAGTATGCAATCTCATCTAAACTGGAAAAGAGAATAGAGGGAGGGGAGAAAGAGAAATTGGAATTTTTCTTTATTTTTTTGTGTGTATTTTCTTTTGCAACGTGGCTAATATGGAAATATGTTTTGCATGACTTCGAACATATAATCGGTATAAAATTGCTCGCCTCTTCAAGGAGGGGGGAGGGGCAAGCAGGATCGAGCGAGGGGAGCGAATTTGGAACTCACAACTTTCAAAAATGAATGTTAAAATTTGTTTTACCTGTAACTGGGAAATATTTAATGAAACAAAAACATATTTAAAAAAAGAAAGAGAAATTGAAAATGCGTTTAAAGTAACTCGGTTCACAGGGTAATTAAGTGGATTAGAAAGTAACAAGCATTTATTAAGCACTTACTGAGGCAAAAACAGTCCCAGACCTCCAGTAACTCCCATTCTTATGCAACTGACCAAAACCAAGGTTCTCTGGCTTTTCCATAGTTAAGAGCTCTTTCCATTAGCTGTTTTTAAAATTTGGCGAGGTCTCTTTAAGGAGGTGTGGGTCATGAGCCCCTCCCTCCTCACCTGCCCTCCATCATCCCCCCCTCGTCCTGGATTGGAGGTGGAAAAGGGGAGGTGACAGACTACGTTTCCCGGCAGCACTTGCCCAGGTCTCCCTGCGCCTGCGCAGCATCCCGATCGGCCGGTCCTTCGAGCTCGCGCGCTCGCTGCTCCCTTCACCTCCGCTCATTCACGAGCATGGAAGGGACATCTCTTGTCTACGGCGCGCGGGAGCCCGGGACCGCCGCGGCCCCACCACGGTCCCGCCACCCTCCTCCTTCGCCGCCGGTGCTGGAGGAGGGACCGCCGCCTCTGCCCCCGCTGCCCGAAGTGGGCACCTCCGGCTGCTCGGGCTCCCGGCCCCCGGAGCTGGAGCCCGAGCGCAGCCTGGACGGCTCGAGCGGGAACTACGTCGACGAAGAAGAAGAGGAGGATGAGGAGCTGGAGGAAGACGAGGAAGAGGACGAGGAGGAGGAAGGGAGTCGCTTCCCGCTGGGGCTGGACGGGAACAGGCTGGACTCGGAGGACGAGGACGAGGTAAAGAGCATCCCCCGGCCTAGGCTGCCCTGGAGGTGGGAAGGAGGAAAACAAGGAGGAGGAGGAGGAAAAGGCTGAGAGAGGGCTTCCCAAAGCAGGACCCATCAGGACTCCTCCACCTTCCCCCCCCACCCCCGCCGGGAGCAGCGACCTGTGGAGCAACAAACACGCAACCACCCTCCCCTCTGAACTTCGAGACTCAGGCTGTCACCCGTGCCTGGAATGCTCTCCCTCCTCCACTCTTGACTACTGACCCTCTTGGTTTCCTTTAAGTCCCAACTAAAAACCCCATTTTCTCAAGGAAGCTTTCCCCAACCCCTCTTAACCCTAATGCCTTCTCTCTTTTAATTATTTCCTATTAATATCCTATATATTGCTTGCTTTGTACGTATGTTTGCATCCTTAAAGCTGTAGTAAAAGAGGGAGGAGTCCTTTCTCCTTTCTCTTCCTCCTTTTGCTCCCTCAAACTATCTTTGAGCGTCCATGAGCCATGGGAGATGGCCAGTAAAGATAGAACCAGGAAAATAATGAGTGGGAGGGACTTTGGAGATTGACAGAGGAGGAAAACTGGTGGAGAAGACAGAACTGAGTAGCCCCAAGTCACACAGCTTTTTAGCAGTAGAGCCTTGTAACTCTGATCTACTGACTTCCAGTCAATCCACAGTGCCAAGTGACTTTCTCCAAGGTTCTGCAGTTGACGTTTTTTTCTATGTAAACTCAATCCATGGAGCTTCCTGGAAAGAATGGAAGCCTCAGGTTCTCCTGCTGACTTGCTTTGTGAACCTGGGCAAACCTCTTAACTTCTCTAACCTGCTATTTTCTCACCTTTCAAACAAGGGTAATAATAAACCCTTCATGGCTTGTTTGTTTGTTTTAGAATTATTGAGAGAATAAAATATGTGACAGATAAAACTTAAACTTTCCAGATGGTGAGAGTTTAAAACCTGAACTAATTGTATTAAACTTTTGAGAAAAAGGCAAGTTATCTTTGTAAAGGCCTAAAGGCCTTATCACAATACTTGGCACATAGTAGGTGCTTAATATTTGTTCCTTTCCCCTGGAAAGCCCGGGTACTTAATTCAAAAAATGAATTTGGTGTATCATAGAATGTTTGCAGGACAGAAGACAGAGTCTGAAATATATATGTATTGTATAATTGACTCCTAGCACTTCTAGTCATTCATAGTATGATAAATTTAGAGTTGTAAGGTATATTTTGCTTGGCCCTTAAAACCCTGTGCAACCTAGCTCCAAATTACCTTACTAAAGTGCCCCCCCTCCCCATTACTCCTTGCAATTGTTGTACCAGCCAAATTGACTACTTTGTTTTTCCTCACATTCAGCTCAATTCCATAAACATCTATTAAGCATCTACTATATGCCAGACACCATGCTAAGCATGGGGGATACAAAAAGGGGCAAAAGACAGTTCTTTCCCTCAAGGGAGCTTACAATCAAATGGTGGGGACAACTACATTCCATCTTTCTATTTTGTTCCTTTGCATAAGCTGTTGTTCCCTATGCCTCTTAAGAACTTTTTTCTCATCCCTGCTTCATTAGCTTCCTTGAATACTCAACTCAATATTCATCTCTCTGTTTCTACTAATATCTCCCTCCCTCTCCTTACCTTGCATTTACTTTGTATTTATTTTGCAGCTGTTGAAATAAATACAAGTTGTTTGCTTTTTAGAGTGTAAGCTCCTTTGAGGAGAGGATCTGTTTCATTGTTCTTTGTTTCACCAACATTTAGAACCATGACTGGTACGTATTAGATGCTTGCTGATTGATTATTTAGTCCAACCTCTCATTTTACAGGCGAGGGAAGGGTTGTCTGACTCTGTTTCCATTATATTTGCAGCGTATGATTAGTCTCTCTGAGTTGACCCCGTACATCTTGTGTTCAATCTGCAAAGGATACCTAATAGATGCTACAACCATTACAGAATGTCTTCACACATGTAAGCATATATGTATATGTGAACATAATCATGATTTTGTGTGTATTTTCAAATTTAGATTTATGGAAGCATCTTAATTTTAAAAATTTTGCCTTTCCAACAGTTTGCAAAAGCTGCATCGTAAGGCATTTTTACTATAGCAACAGATGTCCAAAATGCAACATAGTAGTACATCAGACACAACCTCTTTATAACATCAGGTAAGAACATCTGGGTGGTTAATGTGACCAGCAATCACACAAGCTGTATATGTAAATTTCCAGCTATAGTTAAAGGTTTGTTTGAATGGTCTTATAAAATTAGAAATGTCTGAGGCCAGTGCAATTTTGTTATTTTCAGTATGTTTAGATTGTAACATATATATGACCTGGACCTTTGAATGCAGCATCAGTGTCCTATTCTGGGATTCTGTGGAGGACAGCAAGCTTGACATAGAAAACAATAACATTGAGGTGAAAGATGCTTCTAGGTATTCACAGTAGGGGAAGTGGGGGGGGGGAGGGACCAAAAGAAAGTTACAAATAGGTTTCATGGCCTTGTGGCCTCAGATGTGTAGGTGCCAACGTACAGAATATAGTAACAAAGTAAACTTGAAATTTTTAAATAGGGTAAGTAGGATCTCATAAGCACTAGCACTTGGTAAGGATTGAACTCTTGAATGGAATATAGCAGTGAAAGAGTGGTTACTCTAACCAATACAGATTATATGTCTTCCACATCTTAGTCTCAACAATCATCAATTAAATGCTTACGTGTCTTGGGTAGTAGGGATAGAAAGGCAAAAATGAGACTATTCTTTGCTTTTGAGAAGCTTTTATTCTATTAGAGAGTAACAGATGTTCACCTAATACATAAATAAATGTGAGCTGTATAAAATTAAATAAGTAGTAATTTGGGGTGTGAGTATTAACAACTGGAGAGGATCAGCAAAAGCCTCTTGATGAAGGTGGTTCCTGAGCTGAACCTTGAAGGGAGCTAGGGATTTCAAGAGGTAAAGGTGGGGAGGGGAGAACTTTCCGTGCATGAAGTAAAGGCTGTCACAAAGGTAGAAGATGGAATGTTGTATATGGGAAACAGCAAATAGTCCCTTTTGACTGGGAAAGGGAGGGAGGTTGCCTGGGAGGAAGTAATATATGATCAGCCTGGAAAGATAGGGTACCAAACCAGAACTTATAGGTAATAGAGAGCTACCAGTTTCTTAAGCAGAGGAGTAACATGATTAGACCTGTGCTTTAGGAATATTAATTTGACAACTCTGTAGAGGGGTTAACTGGATGCAGGTAAACCAATTAGGAAGCCATTTCAGTAGTCCCGGTGAGACATAATAATGAGGGCCCTGGTCAAGATGTAGTAGATGGTTTAATGAGGTGCTGTGGCCAGAAAAAGTTTGTGGTTAACTCTGGTGATAAGCTACTCTGATCTGAGCCAGACTGGTCCTTGGCCTTTTCAGATTAGTAGGACCTGCCAGAAACATTCTTCTGGTCTTGACATTCAAAAACTCAGGATAATCTCGTTGCCATAGTGGGGTATCAGAAGAGAACTTTAGTGAAGACTCTAATCTATAAATGTGTATTTTGTGTTCAGGTGAAAAAAAACAAATATTTTTAAGAGCTTTGAAAAGAAAACTGTTAAGACTAGGGATCTTAATAAATATTTGTAAAAAAAGACTAGAGATCCTATTTCAGACCTATCATGGCCCCCCCCCCCCCCCCCCCCCCCCCCCCTTTGCTCATGCTAGCCAACCTGTACAACTAACCCTCTACCTAAATCAGAGAACCCTCAGTGACATACTTCTTTTATGAAGTCTTGCCCGCCTAATAGTAACTGACAATATAGTGCTTGTAGGTAAAGCTCTTTACATATGCCTTCTCATTTGAGCCTCACAAAGACCTTGTGAGATAGGTACCACAGATATTTTCTACCCTGTTTTAAAGATGAGAAAGCTGAGCCTTGTAGAAGTTAAGTGGCTTGCTCATGGTCATCAGCTAGTAGGTATAAGGTAGAATTTGAACTTGAGTCTTCCTGATTCCTGATGGCCCCACCACCTATATCCACCTACATTTTTTTTATGTTCCAATAACTCTTCTGGTCATTATCACACAGTTTTAGGACTGAGTTAATCTTATACTACTTAGTATTGTTACTTCTTTCAATTGTATATGATACATCTCCCTAGGTTTTAAGTCTGTTGGAAAGGAAGTTAGAGTTTGTTCTAGTATTCTGCTGGGCACAGAGTAAGCCTACCTGATTTGATAGGATATGGCTGATTCTGTCCTCTTTATCAAGAAGCCTTTGCTATTACAATTATTAATGAATAATTTTGTAGTATTCTTAAAGTTTTCAGTTTTCTTGTCAATTAGTATTGTGTTTTGTCATTTGTTTTTCCTTTCTTTGATATGTATATTTAAAAAATAAGTTAAATATGCTGAGGTCTGTTTCCATTCTGAAGTAGATGGTTCTTACTGATCAAATAAATTGAGCTTGTGCTCTGTACAATATACTGGGTCCTGTGGGAAGTACAATAAAGTGTAAAATGCCCTACTCTCAAGTTTATTACATTCTGCGTAAAGAAGCAAATCGACCTTGCACAAAACAACTCATGAACAATTCAAGGTATAATGTCATTGTACAGTGAATTGTGTAGTACAGATAATATACAGTACTCCCTGCTTGAGACCTCTGAAGTCAACCTAAAAGTAAACTCACTCCAGATAGTGTAATAGTTCATTTTTAAAAGGGAACAAAGTTGATTACCCAGAACAGAATATATGCTGTACTGAAATGAATTTTTCTGAACACTCAGCTACCCTTCATCCTTTCCTTTTATCAGGTTGGATCGACAGTTACAAGACATAGTATACAAATTAGTGATCAATCTAGAAGAAAGTAAGTTTAAAAAAAAATTATTACAAAGTTCTGAATCCCAGGATCACCATTCATTTTACCAGTTGCATTTTAAATATAATTTAACCTATCTTCTTTCATTTTATAGGAGAGAAAAAACAAATGCATGATTTTTACAAAGAAAGAGGTCTAGAAGTACCGAAACCTGGTAAGTTTGTATGATACATTTCAGTGTACCTTTAGATTTTTTTTTTAATATTAAATTTCTCTAGTTTTAGGATTCTGTTTTGGAAATGGGAGTTTGAATAATGTGTTTGATTCCAAGTACTCTAAGTACTCTGAAGTAACTAATAAAATACTTTGTTTTCATTGTTTTCTGACCCACTCTCCTTAGGAGATTCTTTTTTACAGAATTCCTATTATCTTGATGAACTTTGTACTGATTACCAATATTATTGAAACTAGCTGTTGAGAGTGTTATAATCTTTTTTCAAGTCTGACATGTATGTGATATATGTGTAGTCAAACATAAAATATGTGGAATTTTATTTTCACACAGTGCTTTTGATTTTGTTTTCAAATAGCTGTACCTCAACCAGTCCCTGTAAGCAGGGGGAGACCTAGGAAAGTTCTGGGGTCAGTGTTTCGTATTCCTCCAGAACTTGATATGTCTTTATTACTGGAGTTCATTGGGTGAGTATCTTGAAGACTTATATAAGATTTTACCTTATTAAAAAGACTGTATTGTATAGTAAATATAAAACTTCTTTGAATTATAGGTTAAAATAAATTTTCTAGCAAGTGATATATTTTAGTATGCTACGGCTTTGTTAAACAGTCTTTTATAGTCAGAGAATGTGTGTGTGCGTGCGCAAGTGCACATGTAAAATTATCATTTCTCAAAACTAGATTTTTCATTTTACAGATTTGCCAGAAGAAACCAAAATGCTTTTCTGGGAATATCTGAACTGACTAGCTAACCTGTACTGACTATTCTGTCCTGTGAACTCCTATACCATTTATTGCCTAAATTACTCATTTATCACTTAGAAAGATGAATAACAACAGGGTAATTTGCCTACCACATTTGTGTTTGTCACATCTCTCCAAGTAAACAAGTAAGCAGCTTGAGCTTCGACTTTTGTGTACATATAGTAAGTGTTCAATAAATGTTTGATGAGGAAATCAAATTATGCTTTCTTTTAAGAGTTAGAAACAATGAGTCATTCCTAAATTCAAGCAAAAGATATCATTATTCCATAGTTTCACATTTTGAGAAATATCATTTTACCAATAGAAAAAGGAAGGGGGCTAGGATAACAATTTTACATGTCACAGTAACATTGTGATCAACTTTGATAGACTTAGCTCTTCTCAGCAATACAATGATATAAAACAGTTCTAAAAGACTCATGATGGAAAATGTATCCATATCCAGAAAAAGAACTATGGAGTCTGAAAGCCGATCAAAGCATACTATTTTCACTTTTTGTTTGTTTGTTTTTTCTTTCTCATGGTTTTTCCCTTTTGTTCTGATTCTTCTTTCACAACATAACTACTGTGGAAATATTTTTAATATGATTGTACATTCATAGCCTACATCACATTGCTTACTGTCTTGGGAAGGTGGGAGGGGAGGGAAAGAGAGGAAAAAAAATTTGGAACTCAAAATCTTATAAAAGTCATTGTTGAAAACTAATACATATAAAACAATTTTCCGTGTCAGAGAGTAAGCCACATATAGACAACACACTGAGTCCAGACTAACTGGCAGTCTTCAATGCTTTTAAAGCAGTGCAGGAATCCGATTAGATAAGTTATAGCATTTGGACTATACCAAACTGCATTTTTACTACATGGTCTACCACACATGCTGCTGGTGTAGTGTCTTAATTAAAATGCTGTTTCTTGTTAAGTTGTGCTTTATGTGGAAACCCCAGTTTTGGTATAAGTCATTGATACTCCTTGAACTTTGGTTTCTATGTGCATAATAAGGGCATTGTTATGAAGAAAAACCAGAGTCAGATGGCCAAATTATGGTCTAACTGCTGCTGTCCCTTAATACTCTATTTTGCTTCCAGAATTATGTGTCCTTTGAATAACACACAAAGTTGTTCTTGAAAAAAGTTCTCGGAATGTTCAAACTGTAATTGGCATATAGAATGTGAAAATGTCACTAAAATAATAAAGAAATGTGCACAGCGTTTTCATAGTAAGGTAAATTGGCTCATTATAAGCTAATAGCATGATAGCCATCAAAAGAGCTCGTGGGATCTTATCAACTGCATTAATAGAAAAATAACACTCAGTGCTAGGAAGGTAACAGTTTTGATGTACCGTGTGCTTATCAGACCTCCATAATCTAATAGGGTACACACACAAAAAAAAAACCATAAAATAATGCATAAGTGTATGAAAGATGCTGAGAAGGGACTTGTGTGAGGTATGAAGTGAAAGTGTATTATAGATTCTACGAGTTATCAGTTGATATGGATAGAAATTTAATGCATAGAACAAGGGAACTGTGACAGTCCTCTTGTACTCTTTTTCACCTTTTCATATTGTGTTCAGTTTTGCCTACCATATTTTAAGTGAAACATTGACAAGCCAGAATATGTTCAGTAGACAATAACCAAGAAGTCTGGGAAGTATGTCACAAGTAATATTAAAGGGATTAGGGATGTTTAGTCTGGAAAAGAAAAGGAAGGGTGATGTAATTTGAAGAGCTGTTCTGTAAAAGAAGGGTTAGATTTTTTTTTTTCTGAATAGTTCTAGTAGCAAGAACTAGAATCAGTGGAGTAGAAGTTACAAGGAGATAGATTTCAGCTGATAAAGAGAATTTTCCCAACAATTAGAACTATCGATAAAATTGAATAGACTTTTGTGAGTTAATAATCTTCCCATCACCAGAAGTGTTCAAGCAGGAGTGTTGCAGATGAGATTCATTTTGAGTATAGGATGTTAGACTAAAGAACCCCGAAAATCTCTCCCAACTTAGATTCTATGGTTCTATATGTTTCTGCCTCTTTTTGAGTGAAAAATTTGGTACAGTAGAGGGTACAGTCCTAGTCAAGTACTTGGTACTGGAGTCAGCAGACTTGAATTTTAGTTCTTGCTCAGCCAATAATTAACTGTGGGACCTTGGACAACTTATTTTGCCTATCTGTTCGTTAGGTGAGATCGGAATAAATAATCTTTAAGATCCCTTTCATCTCTGAAGTTCTGTGATTCTGCAGAGTCATACAAATATTTTTAAGGGGATAAGGGATGATACTTTAATAAGGTGAATTCAGTGCAATATGTTAAGTGCCTTCTTGTCTTTTGAGTACTGTGTCTGGGCATTGAGAAAAATGTAGTTTAGATAAGATGGTAGAGGGACACCAGTCATATAAAATAATACTCAGATTCATGGGAGGTGCAAAGTACTGTGTGAACTTTGAAGTGATGGTAAATTATTGAATAGAAATTCTCTAAAACAGCTACCATAAATGAGCTAGCCCACAAAATCCTTTGAAATCTTGCTTCATTAGAGATAATATAGAAAAACAATCAAAACTATGAAGAGCCCAAAACATATGAGCAGGAAACTCAGGAATGTCTTAATATTAAATTAATTCTGAAATTTCCTATTTTGTAGAAGAATAAAGATGGGACTAAAATGAATACATTCAAAGTTATATGCTGGGTAAAGCTGGTGATGCCAGCCACCAGATGGCAGAAACAACAAGCAGGAAAGCTTTATCAGTAAAATTTAAGTGGGTCAAGATTGTTGACATTAATCTATTTTGATTATTTAAAAATGTAAAGTTTAGCTCAGCAGTGTATTGTTTTTTAAAAAGCTTAAATTTATCTACCTCAAATAGTCATACTCTTGCTTTGCTTTTAATATGATAAAGTAAAACATTGAAATTTGATTTTTCTTTTCAGAGCTAACGAAGGCACAGGACATTTTAAGGTATTTTTTTTTTTAATTTTTCAGTTCTGTCTTTCATTTCAAATGAGTTCTGTGTAGCCTGTAAAGCCAGTCAGATTACCTTTCACAGTAAGATTTACATAAAATGTTTTATGAATAAAACAAATACTTATGTGAAGGACATTGTCTGCCTCTCAAAAATGTTTTTTGAGAAAAGAAAGAGGTAACAAGTAGAGATTTATTATTTAAGGCAAGATGGAGTAAAGAAAAACAAATGGTTAACCATTTAAAAATATTTCAAACCAAGTACTAAGCAAACATGGCTACAATGAGAAAATGTCTCAGCATTTTTTGCATATTTGGCACTTAGCCCTATAAAAGCTTAAAATTGTGTTTGCATGTAACATTTTTGGCTCCAGTTAACCTGCCCTAACTTGTTGCTTCAATCATTTCTTCAGATTTTAGAGGGAAGAGTGAGCTCCTTTGGAATGTACTTTGGTTCAGAGTTGCCTTTAAAGCTCCAAACTATAGGCTTCCATTGTACACACACAGTGTTGTGCTTTGATACTGTAGTCTATGTCATTCAGAGAAAGGCAACATGCCTTCTGCGAAGGTAAATGCCTTACTAATCTATTAGAGCTCTTTGAGGAGGTAAATATGCGTATGAATAAAGGGGAATCAATAGGTATAATCTGTTTCTTTTTTTAAAGCCTTTTATTAGTTTTTACTTTCAAGGCTGTTTTAAAAAATTCCAATGGGATTGGTGAACTGTTTTAGAACAGAGAACCAATTTAGAACAAGCAAATGTTAAGAATAAATAGTTATTTGAGTGGAGGAATTTAATAGAGTTTCCCAAGGATTGGTGCTAGGATTGGTTTTATTTAAGGTTTTTATAAGTAATCTGGGTTTTTATAAGTAAACCTTGCAGATAATCTGACACCAACCCTGAATTACTCTTACCATCTGCCTCCTTTGCTCTTACTCACATGATGCTGAATGGGACTGGAGGAAGTCTCACAAATGGCAGCTGGTTCCACTGTAGATAAATGTTATCTGATTTCAGCTGGGGTCTCCTAGCTGAACTAGGCAATCCTTCTACTTCTCCCTAATTAATTCTCTAATCCACTCCCCGAGAGGTTCCAAACCTTCTCTTATCAAGTCTTCAAAAATGTTCCCTTCCCCCACCCTCTCAACTGAAATCTTGGTCTTATGATTGAACAAATAAGTTGAAGTTTTTTGTTGAGAACTCCTTTTTCCTTCTTCCTCATTTTATAAGCCCTCCTCACCCCTTGACTTTTTCCCCTACCATATCTTTTTCTGATGAAGAGATAGCCCTCTTCTCCCAGGGCCCTCTACTTTTACCCTTGATCTCATCGCCTCCAGCTGACTGCCGCCATTATTAGTACCTCTTTTTAATCTTATATCTCTGGTTTCTGCTGCCTATAAACACACTAAAGTCTCTCCTTAATAAGCCTTTTAGCTCCCACTCATTGCCATAAATATTGTCCTGCATTTTCTTCTCTCCTCCCTTTCTCAGCCAGACTCCTTGAAAAAGCCATCCACATTCAATGTCCACTTCTCTCTCAACTTATCATTCAATCGAAACTGCTGTCTCTAAAACCAACTCTCTAAAGTCAGCAACATCTTCCAGTGGACAAATCTAATGGCCTTTTCTTTGCCTTCATTTTCTTTGACCTTTCTGTACCTTTTAACACTGTTGATCACTTTGTTCTGAACACTTTTCTTCTCACACATTCCAATTATGAGAAATAGCTTTCATCTTATCTTCCCTTTTCCATACTACTCTATTCCTCCTTTCCATTTCTTTATTTATTTATTTATTTATTTTTTGCTTTTTAGTGAGGCAATTGGGGTTGTGACTTGCCCAGAGTTACACAGCTAGTTATTCCTCCTTTTAAACTCTCTTCTTTTTCCCCTTAGAACAGAACTTAAGTCTTCTGTTTTTCTTATTTAACTCCCTCAATGCCTTTTGAAGACATTAAATTGATGAAGTAATGCTTATTTCTTCTCCCCCTGTTAGAATGTTAGCCCTAAATCATCATATAGTTCATTCCATTCACTCAAATATGTTTATCTTTCTAGGTTTCTTTGGACTCTTTGTGTTTGCATTTCATAGTGCCTACTCAGCTCTTTTCATCAGACATGCTTAAAAATCCTCTGTTCCTTTAAAGGTCATTTTTTTTCTCTTCTAGCATAATGCTGTAGATTAAATTATTCTTGGTTGTAAGCCTTTATCTTTTACCTTTTGGAAAATTATGTTCTAAGCTCTCTTCTCATTTATAAAAAAAAACTGGCAGATCATTTGTGTAGTCCCTTGCTACTTAAATTGCTTATTAATGGTTGCTTGTAGCATTTTTTATTTGATACGGGAGCTCTGGATTTTGGCCATAACATTTCTAGAACTTTTCTTTTGGGAATTTTTTTTTTCAAGAGGTAATCACTAGGTTCTTTCTGTCTTCACTTTGTCTTCTGATTCTAATAGTCCGAGCAGTTATCATTGATAACTTTTTTTTTAAAATCATGGTTTTTAACGATTCTGTATTTACCTTTCCTTGACCAGTTTAACAAGTCTCTTGTTTCTAATATCAGATATGTTTTTTCAATCTTTAGGTTTTGTTCTATGTTTCTGTGTTTTATTTCATTTTTAATCTCTTCTGCATACATGTGTATGATGCCCCAATTAGAATGTACCCTTCTTTAGGACAAGAATTGTTTCTTTTTTGTCTTTTCATCCCTAGTGTTTAGCACAATTCCTTGCACACAGTAAGCACTTAATAAATGTTTGTTGAATGACTGATTGCCCAAGCATTGTGTGAATATGTAGAAGTTTTAAGATATGGAAGAGAGAAGATAAGGGAAGCTCACAACCATCTTCTCAGTAAAGTGGGAGGCAAGTTCATTTTCTGAGAGAGGGAGATAGAAATGGAGTTGGGAACATGAAGAGAAAGAAGGTTTGGAATAATTGCTATGTAGATTGTGATTGGAAATTAATACATGGATAAAAGAATTGCCATGTAGCAGTGAACTTAGAAGGCATAATTTTTTATAGACCTAGTCTGCCATTTTGTTACTTCCTATATCAGTGTTCAGTATCTTTGGAGTAGGAAGAGATGATGCACATGGTGGAATGTAACCAAAGATGAAAATGAGTGAAGGATGACTATCATGAGAACGAGGGATTCAAGGATAAAGAACTGCCTGGTTGATCTAGGTGAACCAGATGGCCAGGATAGTTAGGTAGAACATGCATATTAAAATGAGAGGACAGGGAGTGAGGACCTGGAGATCAAGGTGAGAGTAAAAAGCAATTTCAATAGGTGTGAGACAGAAAGAGAGAGAGAACAGAAAACTGATCAGAGAAGGCCTTTGAAGGGTTTAAGATCCTCAATGGTGGAGCAGTTTTAAGAGATGATAAAGTTTAAGGTATGATCATCCCTGGAGGTGACTGAGCCAGCAGAGTAGAGATGGAGATCCTAGAAGTTGGGGTTGATATTCCGGGAGTCTAGACTGTGCAAAGGGGGATTCCAGTAAATATTGAAGTCATGAAGGAGGAGGGCAAGGATTGGGGCAAAGAGGAAAACTGAGCCAAGAGGCTGAAGTCACAGAGGAAGAAATGGTGCCTTTGTACATGTCATCAACATGTATCTGGATGGGACAGTATAATCTAATGATATGAATTTCAAAGAATGAAAGCACAGGAAGGTTCTGAAAGTAGCCACGGGTAGCAAGAGTTATGCTAACTCTTCCTCTAAGCCCTTTTGTAGTCAAGAGAAAGAGGAGAGGAGTGTCAGCGTCAGAGAGGATGTCAAGGAATGTAGGCTTTTTAGGAAGTCAGATTTCGGTTAGTGGTAGAATATATTTTTTTCTTTCCAAGATAATTTATAAGACATAATTTATTTTGAAAGATTTCCATTATTTCAGGACAATAATCAAGTAGGGTATTCCTCTACTTCTCACACTCACATTTTATATTCAAATCCTAGCTATATTAATTCAGTCGTTAATCCTACAGATTGATGCTATAAATTGAATTCCTTCTTTGTTGAAGATCTGTTTCATGAGATACTAAAACATGTTTTAAATCCAGAAAATGTCAACATATCTTCTAGAAATATGGAGGTGGGAAAAATTTTTTTTATCAAATAGGTAGTTGACTCTAGGACATATTACTAACTTTATTTCTCTGGTAAAAATTTTTTTTTTTAAGGCAGTTGGGGTTAAGTGACTTGTCCAGGGTCACACAGCTAGTAAGTGTCAAGTGTTTGGTCTGAGGTCAGATTTGAACTCAGGACCTCCTGACTTCAGGGCTGGTGCTCGATCCACTGCGCCACCTAGCTGCCCTAAAATATTTCTTCATTTTAGAGAACTGATTATGAAAAAATACTTTCTGTTGGCAGACAGTTTGTGGATTTCTTTTAGGTGGGCTCAATATTTGGGTTTTGGTTTGTTTAACTATGCTTCTTGGTTTTAAAGGGGATTCCATTGTTAGAGAAGAAATGAAAGAAGTCTCTTGAAAATGACAACAATATTAAAAAAAAAAGCATCAATAAAATTTTTTAAGCTTTTCATTTAGTTCTCAGATTTGTTTATGTGCCTATTGTGTGCTCTATGCTAATCTCTAGAGATCTAAAGACAAACCTGAGATATAAACCCAATCCCTGTCCTCAGAGAGTTTGTATTCCATTGGAGCTGGAAAATCAATATTAGGAAAAGATCATTCATTAACCACTAGGTGTGTCAGGGTAGCATGGGGGAAGCAACGGACCCAACCCTTAAAAGATGATGACGATTCTCAGAAGTGGCCTTGAGGAGGGTGAGGGGGTGTGGTGTGTTCCAGGCCTGGGAAGTGACTGCCCCAGTGTACAAATTGGGAAACAACAGAATGTTGGCTTTAGCTAGACTAGAGGTTGGCGTGAAGCAGAGTAATCTTTACTATGAAAGGTGTTTAAAATGTGCTAAGTAACCCAACTTGTGTCTATAAAAAATTTCAATGTTCTTACAGCCACTGGAAAAGAAGTTTGTTCGTGTTTCAGGAGAAGCAACTATTGGGCACGTTGAAAAATTTCTCAGAAGAAAAATGGGTCTCAATCCAGCTTGTCAGGTATAATGCACATATGTAGTTAGGATAAGATTGGCGAATCTTTCATGCATAGTATTAGCAGCTCACGATTGAGCTAGTAGTAGCTTTCATGTAAAAGAGGAAAATTCTCTAACATTTCATTCAGTGAGACTTATTTTTATCTAAAACGGAATGGTGTGTGTTTGTCAAAAGAAGCAACACAGACATTAATTGAACAAAGCAGACATGACTTTCCACATTAATCACACTTAGCTCACTGTACTTGTTTTCTTAACAAGCTAAGCGAAAACAACCTGGGGATATAGGGAGTAATAGATAGTCCTTGGGATTCCCATCTCAGTTCCATTTGTAGAAAAAAAGACTAGGTAGAAATTTACCTATTGACCAATTTCCCCCACCAAGATTAGATAATCTCTAAAGATGAATTGGTTTAAGTATTTTTGGAAAGAAACCAAAATTCTTCCTGTGCCAGCCTGTAGTTTGTTCATTTTTCTTTTTCCCTATATTTATGAAATTAGAGAGAAACCTTCAGCCTTTTTCAATAATGAATAATGAATAACTCTGTTATATACCTACTTAAATCCTATGCTGCAGAATAAGTGTAAATTACATAGCAAAATACCCTACCTTTTCATTGCTTGAACTCAATGTCTCATGTATTTGTGTTATCTATTTCCTGTACTGTAGCATAGTATAAAAGTTCATAATAGGAATTCTTTTCTGTTAAGAATTCTTAAACTGGGGTCCATAAACTTGTATTTTGTTTTGTGATATGTCTATAACTGAATTTCAGGATAACTGATTTCTTTTATAATACATTTAAAAACATTATACTGAGAAGGAGCCCATAGGCTTCATCAGACTGCCAGCGGACTCTGTGACATGAAAAAAATTAATTCCTGGTTTAAAAAATCCCAACTGTTGTTAATGATTTTAAGACAATAAAATGTTAAATGATAACCCTGAAATTGTGCTAACCTTTCTAATACAATTTTTTTTTTCATCAACAAAATGCTGCTTGCATATTCAGCACTAATCCTGACTGGGTTGCTATTACATAGTGACTGAAAGTTAGAAATGAATTATTTATCAGTCTGTAGATACAATGGACTTAAGTTTACTCTTCCCTAATTAGTTAAAAATACATTTGGTGCCATCTGTGATACACAGCTATTTACGGAAATCTTGAAAAGGAAAATATGAGCAATCACATAATTATCTATCACTCCTGAATAGAAAAATCAAAAGGCATAGGCCCTGGTAGAGCAAAATAGATATGACATGATGAGTATTGGGAGTTGGGGATTCTTTCTAATTTATAGATTACTTTCTCTTTAACTGAATAGCACCTGGAAAACTAATTATTCTGTCTAAGCTTTGCATATTTGATGTTTTAAGGTTTTTTTCAGGGCAGCTTTTACTTGACTTGGCTATGTAGAAGTTTGCTTTGTTTTTAATATAGCATTACTATAGAAGACAAACACCCCTAATCTTGAAATAGAGAAAACATTCAAGATTTCCACTCAATCTTCAACTTCTCATGTCACTTCCTTATATGGTATATGGTATGTGGTCTTTCTGTATTCACATAGTATGTCTGTGGTCTCTTTTGTAAGTGGTAATTTTTATTCAAACTGAAATATATGTACAGAACAGAAAATAGTTAAATATATAAACTTTTCAATTCAGGAATTCAATCTGTTTAGGCTACTGATCTGAAGTGAGGCAGGCCTATAACTATGAGTCATGGGCAACCTGATGAAAAATTTTAGCTCATCAGCATTACTTGGCTTGAGTAATAATAATAATAATGATAATTGCTAACATTTATATAGTGCTTAGTATGTTCCGGGCATTATGCTAACTGTTTTGTAATTATCTCATTTGATCCTCACAACAACCTTGGGAGGTAGATGTTATTATTATCCCCATTTTACAGATGAGGAAACTAGAGAGTGACTAGGGACAGTGATAGTCTTCAATTTCTCAAGCCTGCCAATGATGACTTCCTTTAAGCCATTCATTTTACCAAAGTGGTGAATGTGTGACATGCTTACTAACCTGTGACCTTCATACACAGGTATGTATTAATAGGGTTGAGTGGTAACCAGGAGTTTCAGATCTATTAAGTAATGAATTACCTTTTAAGTCACAAGTAACAGAATAGAATAAAGGGGAAAGGCAGTTGTGGGGTGGGAGATCCAATTTAGGGCTTCTCAGTGAGTGATTTTAAGTTAGTTGTTAAGCTCTGAAAGAGTGAATACTAAAGAGAAGACTTGGGGGGCAAGGGATGTAAACGAAAGCTGTTTTCAAGTATTTGAAGGGCTTTCATGTAGAAGAAAGATTGACAAAGTTGCAGAGAGGTAGCTTTAGGCTTGATATAAGGAAAAACCTCATAACAATTAGAGCTATCCAGAAGTTGAATGGTCTCTCCACATTAGGAGGTAGTGGAGTCTTTGATCAAAGGCTACATGACTACTTGTTGATGTATTATAAAGAAGATTCTTATTCAGATACAGGTTAGACTAAAGAACCTTAGTGTTCCTTTCCAATTCCTTAATTCTATGTAGAATTAGCATTTTATTCATTAATCTGAATGAACTTATTGATGTCCTGTACCATATATTCTAGGAATAGTTGTTTTTTGTGAATTACCTTTGCCTATTTGGTTTTTCAGATTTTATTTGTAGCATATGAAGCTAGGTTGTTGTTGTTTTGGGTTTTTTTGTGCTTTTATTAACCACTGAAGCTGTTTTTTAATCAGAGATGTTGTATATTTTATTATTGTAGATAAAATTTAACTATAACTCAATTCATCTTGAGTGCTGAGTACTAGTGGATAAAGAACAGGACCAAAGTCTGTTCTTCATTTTGGCCTAAGGTCACATACTAAGCCGGTGACAGTGATTTAACTCTATTTCCACACCTTTAAATAAAGATTCTACTATCACCTGCCATGAGTTCATGTCAAAAGTGCTATGAGAAGGAAGGAAAGAGAATAACCTAGAAGTCAGTAGATGATGGCAACAGGTATTTGGACAGGGCAATATTGTTGGGTATGAACTTCAAAGAACCAGTCACTGTCTTTTAAATTATAGGATGCATAAAGCTCTAATAGTTAGAAGTTCCTCATCGTAATTACATATTTGAAGACTTGATTTCTGCCCTGAAATTCAGAAATATTAATAATTATTACTATTTATAATCAAAACCTTTTAACCTTAAAGGAAAAATAAAATCAATTTGGATATGATTTAAAACTCAGGTAGATTTTAGGAATCAAACTTATAAATGTAGATTCTTGTTACCAAATGTATACATATTGAGTGGCTCATTAAGAGAATGATGAAGTGTTTTGTTTTTTTTTAATTAGTGATTTAATAAAAGCACATAATAGTTTTCAGAATCTTCTGATTTGTATTTAATTTTGCATAGTACATTTTATGCTTAAGTTATAAGGTCATATCAAGGAAACCAAATCATTTTGCTGTGTCCACTTAATCAGTCAACGTTTTTCTGAGTTGTCTTTGCGTATTTGAACTAAAGACTTTGCTTTGCTTTGCAAAGTCTTGGTTAAAATGCTTTGAGCATTATTTAATAAAATGGATAAGTTAAAGTGTAATGGCTGTGATTTGCTCAGGATCAAACAGCAAGACATATTAAGGTAATATGAGTGTAAAGAACTTAGTGTGAATGCTAAATGTTTTTTGTGTCTAATTTCATAGTACTTTAAGGCTAATTGTCAATGCAAACTTTAAGCCTTTCTTATTAGGAAAAGTTAAACTAATTGCATTCCCAGATATTTCGTCAGTCTTTTAAAACTGGGACCAATTAATGTAATTTGCTCAGCAATAAGGGGGAAATTAAATATAAAGCACTTTTAAGGAGCCCATAGATATACAATTCAGTTCAACCTATATCTAGTTTAGTATTTTAAATAATCTGAGAAACAAAGCTTTTTTTTTAATCTTATCCTTTCTTCCCCTTAACTCTAGATGCATTTACTGAAAACTTATATGGTGCTATGATTAAGTAGTAAAGTTCTGATTTGAGGTTTAATTTATGTGTTTAGACATCTGATGTTAAGAATCATTATGCAAAAAATATTGCCATAATTTTCCAAGTCATTGAAACAACAGTTTTAGCATTAAGATTTGCTTTTTAGATAGAAATTATAAAAGTTGAAGAGGCAAAATTTATAGGTAAGTTTTAAAAATAATTTTTTAATTAAAAATTATCAATATCAGTGAAGAAAAAATTATGGAAAATAAAATTGAGTATTTGGCACCTGCTTTGTGCCCAGCACTGTCCCACTGCTATGAGGGATGCCTGGGAAATATGACATGGTCCCTCCCTTTGAGTAGCTTACAAGATACCTGGTAAAGTGAAGCTAATAAAATAATTTGAGAACATAAGCTGTTTAGTAGTCATTGTAAATGCAGTGAAAATTAAAATGAGTACAGAGTAGTTTGGAATACTCAGGGGAGTCTTCATTGACAAGGTTGGACTTGAGCTACATTTTGAAGGATGGATAAAATTTAGACAGAAAGGAATCAAGGGAGGTCATTCCAAGCATGTGGAGTATCATAAGTATAAAGACATGGTGACAAGAATGAGTGTTGTATACTTGGATAACTCAGCCAGAGAGTTTATAAGTGGAGTAATAGGAAATGTGGTTTGATAGGGTAGGATTTTCGATTGTTAGGCCCTGAAAAAGTCAAAGATGTTTAAACTTGAGATTATAGACAACGTGGAGCCATTATAGAGCCATATAGGAAGTGGCATGAATAGATCTGTGTTTTGCACGATGATAGATTAGAGGAGGGAGCCTGGAGTTAGGGAGACAAGCAAAGAGGCTTTTGTAATCATTTAAATGTGAGATAGCAGTGGTATTGGGATTGGAAAATAAGAGACTAATGTGACAGGACCTAGTAGTGATCATTGAATTTAGAGGAAGGAAAAGGATGAGTGTAGGATGATGTGGAGGTTTTTAGCCTGGGGCACCAGAAGAATGATTGATTGTTCCCCTGATAAATTGAGCAGATGACAAGAGGAGCTTGTATGAAGAAGAAAATCGCTAGTTCCTTTGGAAACATTTTGAGGTGACTGAGGAATATCCAGATGAAGATGTCATATCAGCAGCTGAAAATGCAGACCTGGAAGGGAGAGAACCAAAACCAGGGAGAATGATCAGCAAGTATAAATGTGATAGTGGAAGAGAAGGGGTAGATCTTTGAGGAGAGTAAAAGGCCTTTTGGAATATTCACAGTTAAGGAAGGGAAAGGGAAAGAGAATAGTAATGGAGACAGAGTATGCTTGTTCTGAGTTAGGAGAAAAATGTTACAGGAAATAATGAGGGGGGAAAATTCCAAGGAAGGGGTGGTCGCCACTGCCTAATGCCACAAAGCTCAAAGAGAGAGCTAGGAATAGACTAGAATGATGATGTCATTGGTGTAGGGAAACTCCTCCCAAAGCCAGTCTGCACCTTCTCTACAACTTGTACTTTAGAGAGATGCCTAAGGTAATGAGAAGTTAGGTGCAGAATCATACAACCAGTATGTATCAGGTCTTGTGACTCTAAAGCCAGCTCTAACACACCATGCTGCCTTTAGATTTAAGGAAGAGGAGGCCTTAACTTACTTGCAAAAAATGATGATGAAACCTTTAAAAAAAAAAAAAAAAAGAAAAGAAAGAAGCCATTGGTGAGCTTTCAGATAGAGCATCATGGAAAATGACTCCAAGGTCTCAATTATGTCGAATATGGTAGCCTGGAAGTCAACTGTGAAATCATGACGAAGGGTGAAGTTTTGGATTTATTCAGTTTGGGCATCAGTGGGACATCCATGTAGATTTTTCATTTGGAAATATGGGACTATTAGAGCTCAGTGGAGAGGCTAGAAATCAGGAAATTTGGGCACCATCTGCTTAGAAGTCACAGTTGAAACTAGGAGGCAGTAGATGAACTATGGAAGAGTTGAGGATAGATCCCTAGGCAGTGGGAAGGGAGAGAAGAACCAGGAAAAGAGGGTAATGAAGATTTTGTAGTGTCACAGAAGCCAAGGTAGGAAAAAGTATCCAAGAAGAAGTACCCCTTGAAGCAGCCAAACCATTTTTCACAGAAATCTTTTCCAATATTTTATACTTTTCCCTCACTAAACAGTCACATTAAACATAGTTTAACCTTTTCTACATCTAGATGGCAATTGTTGTACAATGTTGTCCTCAAACAACTGAAATGTATAGGTATGCTTAGCTGTATACCAAGTGCTTCTAAACTACTGTTTTATTAAAAATTTTATATCTGTTTTTTTTTAATCTCCTTTTTTGCTTCATCCAAAACTTTGTGTGCCTGCCTATAGCAACCTTGTCTCCCACTGTATAATTCACTGCTTCTTACCTGTTGTGGATTAAAAAACCAGATAACTGTTAAATTTCCAAATAAAATAAGAATATTAAACTCTGAGTTCGGTGTTGAAGGGGTCTCCTCCCACGAGATTGTCCTTAGTCTTTGTCTTCAATGTGTTCTGACTGTTTAAAGGTCTGCTTTGTTTATTTTAGATAGTTGAAAGCAAGTAACTTTTAGGTGAATATGAATATACTCTATTTTCATAGAATTTTACATTTGGAAGAGACTATTAAAATTATCTAGTGCATCTCCTTCATTTTTCCAATGAGAAAAACAGACTAAGAAAGCTTAATTGAATTTCTTATGGTTATATACCCAGGTGATGAAATAGCCAGGGCATAGAACAGAGTATAGTATTACAGTATGCTGTCCCACTTTAAAATTGTAAAGTTTTTCTCTGGAGATTTTACTGGAATATATATAGAGTAGCTAAAGCTTGTCCAGAAATGTTTGGCTTAACTTATTCAGATGGCATGTAAAACAGGGAACACTTTGACAGTTTTTTTATCTCTGCCCCTAGGTAGATATAATATGTGGTGATCACCTGTTGGAACAGTATCAGACACTAAAGGAAATTCGCCGTGCTATAGGTGATGGAGCAATGCAGGTATGTCTCAGATTTTATGAAAATGTTAGTCAAGGAAATACTTCCATCTACATTTGAAATGAAAAGAAAACTAAGGTCCATGTGATACAAAGTTTTAATAAACCTCCCACAACCAAGATCCCTTAGCCTGCACTAGCTTCTATCTCAGATTAAACTTTTAATTTTTGAACATAACTAATGAGAGTTTCATTGAAAGAAAATTTGAGATTAAGGCATTAATTAACCCATCGTGTATAAGTTCCTCTTCACTGGAAGAAGAGAGTTAACTTAATTTTTCTGTTGTATTTTTCCTGGTAATATGAGTGAATTTAAAGTGACCAACATATGTTAATTAGAACATATGGAAATCAAGGTCTTGAGCTCCAAAATTCACGAAGAGTTAAGACAAGGAACCCTTAGTTGTGGAGTCTGCTTTCTGTTCAGCTTTTACAAGAATCTTTTTTTAAAAATTCTGCATCATATTAATAGATTTGCAGTAAGGAAGTTTCAGTGAACTCTGTTTAACAGGTAGACTTTTTAGATGGTCAGATGAGTATGTTTAATTTATTATCAAAAATGTGAAGTCCAATGTATGGTCCAATTTGCCTAGGTTTTATTGAGTTAACACAACTAGAATCACTGTGTAGAGGATGTACAGCAGTACCAAAATTATCCTCATAGTATAGATTGTGTAATTACTAGAAGTTAAAAACAGGCTAGTCAGCTTTTGTTGATCATTTACTGGCTTGGTTTTACTGTTTGCTTAATAAGAAAGCCTATATAACTGTACCTTAATTACTGTGGTCTTATTGTCCGGAGTTTGAGGTATAGATTTTTTTTCTTTAGCATTCTGAAGGTTACATCTTCAGGATAGGACATTGAGCAAAAGAGGTTGTTGTAACAAATGAAGCAATCTATTTCAGCATTGCAGGATATTCTTTGTAGAAAGGAGAAACCAAACACCTTTTAAAATCTTGAGCATTTGTTTTTGAAGTTTCATGAACCTGGAGTGCTTTAAACCAGATTTTTAATCTAACTGAAGTTTAGTGTAAGTTAATTGGTGATTAATGTTCCCCAGGGCATATTATACTTAGGCACAGAAGACTTCACATGACATAGTAACAGAATTCTAATTTGAGAGGCTAAGATTGTACTTGGTTCTCTTTTTTTTCCTCCCTTAGCTTCCTTGGACTGTGTTATTTTGTTATGGGAATTTTTTTGAAAGCATAGAATCTGAAAACTGAAAATAATCTTTGAATTAAAAGTGAAGTTATTTTAATGAAAATTGATGCAAATCAGAACAACTCTGAGATTTCACCTCATACCCATCACATTGGAAAATATGACAACAATTCAGAAATAATGTTGGAAGGACTGTGGGAAAACAGATAAAATAATATATCGGTTGAGATGTGAATTGGCCCTGGAGTTCTGGAAAACAGTTTAGCATTAATTAAAAAATATGTTCCTACTCTTGGACCCAGCAATTTTACTACTGGGCATACGTCCCAAGAAGCTCAGAGACAGAAAGAAAAGCTCCATAAATGCCAAAATTTTAAGAGCAGAGCTCTTTGTGATAACAAAGAATTGTAAATAAAGTCAAAGTCCATTAGTTGGAGAATGGATGAACAAACTGCTATGTGAATGTAATGGGTTGTTATTGTGAGGAATTCAGAGAAACCTGGGAAAATGTATATGAACTGGTAAGAGTCATACGAACACCATATACAATAACTACAATAATGTAAATTAAAAGGATGTAAAAGACAGAAAGCAATAATGGAAAACACCTCCTCAGAAAAGAAGACATTAAGCCCATAGTCCAAAAACCTGGTAAAGAAAATGTGAGAAGCAGAGACACAATATCTCTCCCTAGAACTCAGATGAATCTGACGCTTTCAATGTGAAGGCTACAGTGGAGGATGAAAAACTCCGAGGCAGAATTGGTGATAGATAGGTAGAGCACTTACTGTGTGTAGACACTGTGCTAAATGCTAGGGAAACAAGAAAACAAGATAGCCCTATTTTCAAGGAGCTTACATACAGCCTAATAAAGATAGACCTGTAGAAGGGGTCTGGGAATGGTAGGACAAGGCAGGAGTGAACCGTACAGATGTGGAGAAGGCCAGAAGGTAAAGGAGAGTGAGCAGTGTGCCCTTCTCATGATATGGGGCTTCCAGGCAGGGACTCATCAATCACTGGGCCTCAGGGAGCCAGGCAGCTGGTATAGAAATAGAACAGGCCAGACAGCTAGCTAGAAGTGGAGAAAGACAAAGAGAAGATCCTTAAATCTAATGAAATAGTCAGTTGGTTCATTAAGAAACAGACTTCTGAGAAGAATTTGAGCCCCTGCAGAAATATTTAGAGGTCTGTGACCCCATCCATCATTACTGAACTGTATCAAAATGCAGAGGACATGCCAGGAGATATGGGTAGTGGATTTCCAGGTAGTGAAGCAGCTCCATCCACAGTTGAAGAGACCAACAAAATGCATCAAAAGAGAGACACAGCTTTTCAAAATTGGAAATCTCGCATTTGTTGCCCAGCCTAGGTGCAGTGGCTGTTTAGAAATCCACATGTGAGATGTTGTATATTCTAAATACTTGAATGTGTACAGGAGGAAAGAAGCAAACGGTGTTGGACTTTATCACTACTGTAAACAAGTAGAAATGTAACTCTTCTCTTTGGAAATAAGAATGTAATTTAAAATTGGGGTCATTTAAAAAAAAAAAGCGGTAGGGGCATCACTTCACTTCCTGAAAGTAGCTGAAACCATATAGCCTAAACACCTTCCTTAAACTCCTCCCTTCAGAACCACCTGGACTGTGGTTCCTTGGCTCTGCTAGGTGATCAGACCTCCATGTCACTTCTTAGCCATTTCCAAAAATTCCATAGCTGCTTCTAGCTCCACTGTGTGTTTCGACAGTCAGCAAACATATTAGGCGCCTACTCTGTCAGGCCCTGTACTAAGTACTTGGGATACCAAAAAGTCAAAAACCAATGCCTTCTCTCAGGGTGCTTATAGTCTAATGAAGAAGACAACATGCAAACAAATGTGTACAAACAATACACGATATAAAGTATAAATTGGAGATAATCAACAGGAGGAAAGTGCTAGCATTAAGCAGGATAGGAAAGTCTTCTTATAGAAGATGGGGTTTTAGCTGGGACTTGCAGGAAGCCAGGAGGTGGAGATGAGGGGGAAGAAAATTCCAGGCATGAGGGACAGCCGTGGAAAATGCCTGGAGGAGAGACTTGGAGTGTCTTATGCATTGAACAGCAAGGACGCTAATGTCACTGCATCACAGTATGTAAAGGGTGAGTAAGATGTAACAAGAATGGAAAGGTAGGAGGGGATTGAGTTATGAAGAATTTTGAATGCCAAACAGGGATTTTATAAATGATCCTGAGGTGAAAGGGAGCCCCTGAAGCTTTTTGAATAGAGTATCTTGATCACCAGGCCAAGCGTATGTCATACACAGATGCCTAGGCTGGGACTCCATTTATTCAATATATCTTTAAGTATCTGCTATGTACAAGTCTTTCGAGATTCAAAGACAAAAACAAGGTAGTCCCTGTTCTCAAGGAGCTTACATTCAGTTGGGGGTAGGGGAAGAAGGGAATAACTTTTACAAAGATAAGTAAACATGGAGTAGGTACCAAATAAAGTTACTGATGACCTCTTAATTACCAAGCTTAATGGCCTCTCAGTTATTATCCTTCTTTACCTTTCTGCAGCCCTTTGATACTGTTCATAACTCTCTTCTTGATACTCTTTTCTTTCCAGGTTTTTGTGACCTGCTGTCTCTTGGTCCCATCCATTACTTCCTCCTTCTCTCCCCACACCCCCAAGCCCTTTTTTCTTTCTAACTTTTCTATTATTGCCAAGTATTACCCTCAACTGTTCACTGTCTCATCCCCTATATCCAATCTTGGCAAATTCTGTCAATATCATCTTCATAACATTTGTCATATGTCCTCCCCTTCTCTCCTCTGACATTGCCATCACATGGTGCACATCTTCGTTACCTCACGCCTGGACTATTTCAAAAGGCTTCTGGTCTCAAGTGTATGAGCCTTTGCAAGGTTTCAGTCATTTGACTGGGGTGGGAGTTGGGGGTGGGTTGATATTCATGGGTACAGGTGTGTCCCTGTCCTAGTAGTCAGGACACATTGAGGTTACAGGTACAGTGGAAGCCTTGAGTTCTGTGAATGGTGGAATCTTGGCCCAATGGTCAGAAAGGAGCTACCACGAAGAGGCTGTATCTCCATTGGTAACTTTGGAGGGAACAATTCAGTTGAATATAAGCTTTGTTAGAATATAAGCTTCTTAAAGGTAAGGATTGTCTTATCCTTGTATTTGTACCCTCAACATTTATCATAGTTTTTATAAGTGACATGTTTTTGACAACAAAACTTAGTTTTAATCTTCCTGATTTTCATGGCTCCATACTAATATTGGCCAATAGCTGAAAGCATAATATACACTTGGGACAAGGTCTGTCCTGAATGATAGTAGATATAAACTGAGATTTCAGATAATCTTGATGATTTCATTCTTTTGGACCAACTTCTTGTCCATCATAATTTAGTTCATCATCAGTTTTTACTTAGTGATATGACTTGACAAAATGGAGATGTGTTGGACTTTTTTCTTTTCTTTTTTTACATTTGGCATTTTTTTTCTTGTTTTCTAGTATTCATATTATTAGTATTATCTCCATTCTGCAGTTTCTTTGCTGCAATTTTTTTAGGCTACTTTTTATTTTGTGAGTTAGTTAAAATAGATAATATCCATAATCCCACTTAGCTGAGCACACATAACCTGCAAGGTAGTCTAATATAACTAGTTAATTGAATAAAAAATAAATTTAGAAAAAAAAACCATTTATTTGGTACTTACTGTATGTCAAATGGGCAGCTAGTTGGCATAGTAGATAAAGCACTGAGCCTGGAGTAAGGAAGACTCATCTCTGTGAGTTCAAATCCAGCCTCAAACACTAACTGTGTGACCTGGGCAAGTTACTTAACCTTGTTTGCCTCAGTTTCCTCATCTGTAAAATGACTTGGAGAAGGAAATGGCAAACCACTTCCGTATCTTTGCCAAGAAAACCCCAAATGGGGTTACGAAGAGTTAGACATGACTGAAAAAAATGACTCAACAACAACAAAATGTGCTGAGTGTTGTGGATACAAAAAGCAAAAACAGTGCCAGTCCTCCAAGGAGATTCCATTCTAATAGAGGAGAACACAAACAAAAGTGGTTTTGGTCAAGGAGGGGTGTTTTAGCCTGGAAAGTTACAGGGATGAGAGTTGGGCCTTTTAGGGAGTAGACTGACCCATCCAGGAACGATGACAGAGTTGATTTGATCATGTTTCCAGAACTGAGGACTAAGGAAGCTGATGAGAGGCGAAGCATGGCTGAGGCTTTTACTGAAGTATTTGTCTAAAAGAGTAGTTACCAGTGAAAGGAACAAGGCCCCAGGATGGAAATATCTCCAGGAAGACAGCTGGAGAGTCATGATGGCGCCATGAGGTTTCTGATTCTTCTTTCCTTTCCTTCATGTACACTCACTATCTTATTAATCATCCCTTCTAGAATTTTCTCTCAGATCCAAGCTGAGCTCACTGATCTGTGATTTGCCAACTCCACTCTCTTTCCTTTTATGAAAATCAGGCATTTGCCCTTCTCCAGTGCTGTAGTACCTCTCTCATTCTTCAGTCTTTCAGATAACACTGACATTGATTCTGCAATCATGTCTTTAAGTTCTAGATTTAAAGACATAGGTTTAAATCCCATGTTAGACATGTAAAGCTGTGTGGTCCTGCACAGGTTCACATATAGGGATGGGGAACCTGCAGGCTTTTGACTGAATCCCAAGTTTTACAGAACAAATCCTTTTATTAAGGGGATTTGTTCTGTGAAGTTTGGATTCAGTCAAAAGGCTATACTTGAGGACCTACCAGGCCACATGTGGCCTCAAGGCCACAGGTTCCCCACCCCTGAAATGGTTATGTGAACTAATGGTTTCCTCATAGGGTTAATAATAAGTACCTACCTCACAGGACTGTCATGAGGATCAAATTAGATACTACATATAAAGTACTTTGGAAACAGTGAAGTGTTATATAAATGTTTACTACTATTTTTATCATCATCATGATCCTTCAAAGGAAGTTGTTAATCTCAGCCAAGTGACTTGAATGCATTAAGGTTAGCTTTGTGCTTTCTTATCATATTTTTACTTATTTTATGTATTACCTCCCCATTTGCCTTTTTTTTCTTCATCATTTCCAGTGCCAAAGTTGCTCTCTGTGGCAGAGAAAACAGAAACAAAGCAAGACTTGAGCAGCTCTGCCTTCTCTCTGTTGTCAGTTAGCATGGTTTTGTCTCCCTTCTGCTACCCCGCTGCCCTCACCTCAGCAGTAGACCTATTCTTCTTCTCTTCTTTGATCTTCCTCTTTCTCTAAATATAAGCATAACCCCTATCCCTGTTGTTGTTCTCAGCTTTTCTTGCCATACTCAGCTCCTTCTGAGTGTTAGCAGTTCTGACACTATTTTACAGGATTATGTTGTGCTGTTACACTCATCTTTAGTCTCCTGCCCTTGCTTTCATCTTTTGTACATATCTTCTTAACATCTAGGTTCGTGAGTTTCCCTGTCCGTGTTGGTCTCTTTAGAGAACTCTGATTTTTCCTCCTTATCAGAATTGTTTTGCTTTGTATCTTCAGAATGTTATTCTTCAGAGTTTTCCATACCCCACCAGGCTAACTAGAATTTCAGTCACTGGGGTCCTACCTATCCTTTTTCAGAACTTTGAAATATGTTCTCCTAAGATCTAGAATGCCTCATTTTTCTTTTTCTTTTGCTAACTCCAGGAGGCAGTGGCCACTTTCTTTCGAAGTTTCCATTTCACTCCAGCTATGAGTTTCTCCATATCAGTAAGAATGAGAGGATCTAAAACAGTTTCCCCTTGTTAGTTCTTCTGCCTTTTGAAGAATGAAATTATCGTTAAGTCAATAGGCAAGTCAAGTTAACAGCTGCTCTGCAGATGTGAAGAGTTTAAGCCCCTTTCACTACTAGAAAGTATGGTGGATAGAGAGCTGTCCTTAGAGTCAGGAATCAGATCTCATCTCTGATACACGTTGGCTTTGTGACCCTGGGTATGTGGACCTCTCACTGCCTGAGGTAACTCTCCAACCCTGTAAATTGCAGAGTAGGTGCTAATCGCCACTAGGCAATAGCTCCTGACCAGGAACTCCTTTTATCCGTAGAATCTCAAGTCCAGATTTTTAAAACTCTTAAATTCTCTTGCATCATGCCTCTGAACCTTTTATCTATTTCCTCTCACCAGGTGAGTGGTCTAAAGAATATTCTGATGATAAAATCATTTCTGTTTCTACTTCCATTAATCTTAACCTAAATATTATGTATCATGTTTCCCTTCTCTGGTTCCTCAGTAGCACCAAGTGATAGTAGTCAGAGAAGAGAAAGAAAAACTAAAGGACAAACTGGAGCCATTTAGTCTAAGAACAAGGAGCTCAGTGTCCTTCAGGAAACCCTAAGGGCATCACTGTATTACACTGACTTTATGCAAATCATATAAGCTTTAATCTCTCAGTTACCTCATTTGTAAGATGGGGAGGGTATTGGAGTAGATTCCTTAGGGTACTTTCTAGATCCATGATCCTATGTTCATCATGCAGTAATCAAAAAAAGTTAAGTTATATTCAATATTATCTGTTTATGAAGGCAGAAGATTGTAACATGTTGTAGAACGGTGGAATGAGTGCTTGATTTGGACTCAGGACATGAGTTTGAATTCTGGTTCTGGTAACACTTGTCTACAAAATTGTTCAACTTATTACTCAATTCCTTCATCTATAAAAATGGGCATCATAATTTGTGTCTCAGGGCTGATATGAGTATCAAATAAGATAATGGATATAAAGTGCTTTATAAACCAAAAAGCCCTATAAAAATATCAGATTCTGTTTTTGCTTTTAAAAATATCTCCATCACAATTGATTAAAATAGAACTCTTCACTGCTTAAAGTGTTAAGTTTAAATTATCCAAATGTATAATATATAGTGACATTATAGTATTTAGATCCTTTTAGAGAAAAAACACCCAGTCTTTCACTGAGCATGGAATGAAAAGGATGTCTCTTTTTATTTCTTTTTTGGAGGATTTTCTGTTATAAATACCACCACAGCTGGCATTTATAGGAACTCCGAGCAGCCTTAGTAGTTAAGATTCAAGATTAGATAGACCATGGAATGCCTGCCCTGTGCCAGAGAGACCTATTCACTTTATGCCTTTCAAAAATAATAAGTTTATTTAGTGTTGAGTCATGAAAATTAAAGAAAGCTGTGACTTATTTATTAGTGTAAGTGTTTATCATGGTAAGACATGGTGCCTTTTTCCCTTCCAGGATGGTTTACTTGTGCTTCATTACGGCCTTGTGGTTTCTCCACTGACAATAACATGAATATTGCAGGGCTGTTAAAGGTAAAGAAGCAAAGCAGAGTCCTCATCTCACCAAAGACTGTCGTACGTCTGGTAACCACCACTTTATGCAATACGTCTAATTCTCAGCCTAAGAACCATAACATTTATAAGTAAAACTAGGAATGATGACATGCTTTTGTTTGACCAGTGACAGTTTAAAAAGTAGTACAAGCCTCAGGGAAAGGAAATCATTTAGAAACACTGAATTCTAAAATTCTTTATGATTTCACACTGTATCTTTGATTTGCTTGCTCTTCTCTGAAGCAAATCAGCTCCTGTTTTCTTCTAGAGCCATATCTCTTTAAAGTAGGCAGTTGGATTCGGTAGACAGTCATCCTTTTGGAAAAGAGATGTATACTTTTGAACTAAAGATAAAAGTCATGGCTTTATTTTTAAAACCACAGGGCAAACTTTCCGATCTTTGTGAAGACCAAAAGTATTAAGCTACGATTTGCATATTTCTAGTATTTTTTGAGCATGTATTTTTATACCAGCGGTAATACTTAAGGGATCTTGTTTCCTCTGGAGGTGGTGAATCAGTTCCTTCTAAGTAGGCAG